TATATATATATATATATATATATATATTAGATGCATGCATACGCAGCGCATATATGGAAGGCGTATTGATAGGCGGCCATCTGGTAGAGCCGTCAGCCGCCAAGTAAAATGCAGCAAAATTTTATTGACATATTATTGTAAAGCGTCGACTTGTATGATGAATGGAGTTGTTGCATGCGTGCATGCAAGCGTGAATGCATGTGTTTCTTTTTGTTTGCTTTTTGGGGCTTTTTTGAACAGAGACGTGAAGCCGGAGAATTTGATGTTCCGCCGTCGGCTGCAGAGGCATGGCAGTGCTGCTGCTGCTTCCTGCTCCGTGCGTCAGCAGCAGCAGAAGCAGCAGCAGCAGCAACGGGATGAAGATTCGGTTCCTTATGGGGACGCTGCAGACGGTGCAGCAGCAGCAACAGCATCTGGTGCTTCGTCAGCGGGGGAGAGCAGCAGCACATGTCCTCCGTTGCTGTCGATGGAGGAGCAGCATGAGTTGCTGCTGATTGATTTCGATACATCTGTGTTCATAGAAGACCCCTTAGGGGCCCCCCGCAGCTCAGGGGGCCCCCAACGCCGCCTCGTAGGCACCTATGGGTACTTAGCGCCTGAAGTACTTACCTCAGGGAGATATACGAGGGCCTCAGACTTGTGGAGCGTTGGAGTCATTCTATATATTCTCATGACTGTAAGGCTATCTATCTATGTAAAATACTATATGCATGCATATCTACACCCTTCTTAAAATATACATATATGTGTACATGTCTACCTTATATATATATATATATATATATATATATATATATATATGTCTGTATAGAATATAAGTACGAATGCATGCACACGCACGCACTTAAATATATATATATATATATATATAAATTTATACAGGCTTGTAGATGTGTGCAGCACTGTATTTAATTATAGAGGCACCTGGTAGTTCTGTATGGCTAGCGGCAGCTGTAGCAGTCTAAGTAGGAGGGGCGCCTTTAGGGGGCCCCTAAGGGGGCCCCTGGAGGCCGAGGTAGCGGATTGATGGTTGATGTTTGCATGCTGTGTTGTGAGGGAGAAGGCTCAGACGCCTATTGTTTCGTATGTTCATAGCTGTCTGCATGCATGCATGCACGCATGCATGGGTTTTAATTGTTTTTTTTGTTGCTGCTGTTGCTGCTGCGGCTGCTGCTGCTTAGGGATCTCCACCTCTGCCAATGGAGCTGATGACTTCAGCTCGCTCCGCCTTAGCGGTCATTCAGCAGGTAGCAGCGCAGCAGGGCGGCATCGACTTTGAAGCTGCTTCTTTATTGGAGTTTCCACTCGCTAGAGACCTCTGCAAACGCCTCCTAGAGATTAACCCGAACAGACGCATACAGACGGCAGCACAAGCAATTGAACACCCCTGGTACGCAGCCCTGCAGCAGCTGCAGCAACAGAAACAAGAGCAGAAGCAGCAACAGAAACGCAGCAGGTTGCGTCTTTGTTAGGCGTGCACCGCTGCATGTGAGCGTGTTTGAGATGTATCTGCAGCTTTCTGTTCTTATTTTTGCATGCAAAATACTGTATCTGTAGGTATTGTGGAGCTCGACGACTCTTAGTTGTTATTTTTGCTTCTTCTGCATGCTGCTTGCATGCATGCAGGCTGGATACGGTGCGGCATCGCTCGCTCCCCGCTCCCCGCCGTCTGCGTTGTCCCTGTGCGCCCCCTCATGGAGCTGCCTGTACACCCGGAGGACAGACGTGGGGCCGCTGCATGCGCTCTAGCGGCCATGATGCTGCCGTTGCTCTTGCATTGGTTGACCCCGAAGAGCAGCGGTGCAGCTTGGAGCAGCACCGCGCACGCGCAGCGGCAACAGCAGCAGCATCAACAGCAACAGCAGCAGCAGTAGAAGCAGCAGCAGACAGCATGGATGCATTCACAGCTCAAGAAGGATTGAATGCAACAGGCAGCAGCAACGGCGGCAGCAACCCCCTAGAGAGCCCCCGCAGCACCTACGGCCAACTACTGCAGCAGGTTCCTCTCCTGTCTCCATACTTTATTCACGACCCAGCAGCACCAGCAGCAGCAGCAACAGAGGCAACATCAGCAACAACAGCAGCAGCAACAACAGCAACAGCAGCAACAGCAGCAAATGGAAACTGTACAGCCACAGCACGGCCATCCGCGTTCCCCATCACAAACGCTTCTTCCTTCACGAACGCCAGCAGGACAAGGACTCAAGGCAGCAGCAGCAGAAGCAGCAGCATCAGCGGCATCAGCAGCAGCGTCCGCAGCAGCATCAACAGCAGCTGCAGCTCTCAATTGTACACTCCTCTTGAGGGCCGTGTCTCCCCCTTTTTCTCTTCGCAGCAGCTCAGCAGCAACCCAGAGGGGCACAGCAGCAGCAGCAGCTCAAGCAGCAGCTGCTGCAGCGCAGAGGTGCAGCAGCAGCTGCTGGAAGCTAAGTGTTTGTTTGGGCCCCCAGAAGAGGGGACAGCATTAAAAGAGAGACCCAGGAACAGCAGCGAGTGGAGCTGCTCAACTGTCTCCAACGGCGCTGCAGGAGGGTACCGCAGCAGCAGCTGCAGCAGCTGCAGCAGCAGCAGCAGCAGCAACAGCAACAGCAGCAGCGTCTGCAGCAGCACTTCCCCCTATACAACCCCCCACCACCTCTCCCCCGCCTCCCGGGGTCTCCTCCATTTAGAAGAATTCAGCAGCACAGACATCAACATATCCTGCGCCTCCTCCTCAGTTGAGAGCTCCGCGACTCGCGCTGCTGCATTCAAACTTACCTGCGGCAGCAGCGGCAGCGTGAGCAGCAGCAGCAGCAGCAGCAATAACCGCCACAGCTGCGGTGCGGCTCCGCAGCAGCCGCCTGCTGCACTCGACTGTTCCTTTGCTGGGGTAGCTGAGGCTGTTTCCTGCTGCTTGCGGCCATCTGCTGCGCCGCTGCAGTGTGCTGCTGAGGGTGCTGCTGAGGCCCTAAGTGCCACACACCAGCTGCAGCAGCAAGTGCAGCAGCAGCTGCAGCAGGTGCAGCAGCAGCTGCAGCAGCAGCAGCCAGTGCTGCAGCAACTGCACGAGCTGCAACAGCTGCACAAGATGCAGCAAGTGCTGCTGCAGCAGCAGCTACAGAGACCTAACGGCCTCCAGCGCGACCCACTCGATGCTCTGTCTATAGAGGGAGACCTCCAAGAGGCAGCATGCACCTTGAAAGAGAGTCATCACTGCAGCAGCAGCGCAGCAACAGCAGCAGCAGCAGCAACAGCAGCAGCAGGTAATCTTCTGACGACTTCCCGCGGAGAAGACGCCAGTACTGAGCAGCACCCCTTGACAAAAACTGCAGCACAGCTGGGCCTCAGCTGCAGCCCCAGAAGGCTGCATGCGCTAGGAGACCTCTCCTCCGCTGCAGCAGCAGAAGCAGCAGCAGCAGCAGCAGCAGCAGCAGAAATGGCAGGCAAGAAGGTGCCGTATGCCCTGCACGAGAAAGGGCATCGGAGATAACAACACCCTCCCATGCATGAGGAGTTTTTATCTTGACTCGTGCTGCCACCACGAGCAGCAGCAGCAGCGACAGCAGCAACAGCAGCAGCAGCAGCAGCAGCAATAACTGTAGGTGTAGCGTCTCCAGGGTATGTCCGCGGCCCGTCTGCTGCTCAGAGGGGGCCGACCCGCGAGTGGCTTCTCCTCAGCAGAGACAGAAAGAAGATACTGCAGCACAAAGCAAGCTGCAGGTAAACGAGAGCTAGCTAGGTAGCTAGCTAGCTAGCCAGTCAGCTAGCTAGCCAGCTAGCTAGCCAGCCAGCCAGCTAGCTAGCTAGCTAGCGAGATGGCCAGGGAAAGAGTGACCTAGGCAGGTATGTTGTACTTAGGTAAGACGTAAATGAAAAAGCATTTGTTTATCTGGCTAGCAGCAATGACTGCAGGGCCAGCAGAAGCAGCACTAGCAGCAGCAGCAGCAGCAGCAGCAGCAACGCAGCAGCAACGCAGCAGCAACAGCAGCAGGTGCTGCTAGAGGCAGGGATGCTTCAGAAAAGACAGGGGCATTTTGAATCTTGATTTACAGAAAAGCCGCTGCTCGAGTTGCCGGACTCGCTGCTGAAGCACGCCACAAGAGTGCAGCAGCAGCAGCGGCGGAAGCAGCAGCAGCAGCAGCGGCAGAAGCAGCAGCGGCGGCGGAAGCAGCAGCAGCTGCATCAGAAGCGGCAGCAACCCCAGCATTTGTAGTACGTGATGCCGCATCTGCAGAGAAAGAAGGCCGCCCTAGAGCTCGGCTAAGAATTGCCTCAGCCCCCTGCGGCTGTCTCCACCAGACGGAGTGCAGCAGCAGCAGCAGCAGCAGCAGCAGCAGCACCACGAGTCTGAATGCTTTTTGAGCACTGGGAGCAGCAGCAGTAGCTGCAGCAGCAACAACAGCAGCAGCAGCAGGACAGGTTGTGAGTGTGTTGTTGGGTTGCACATCGTGTGCCATGAAGGTTGAGAGAGAAGGCTTCGTGTCTGTTGCCTTCTGTGGTGTATGTACACCTCGGGCGCCCGCCTCTGTGGGTTTATGAAGAAGCGAAGCAGGTTCTGCTGCTAATTGCTGCTGCTTGCATAAATTTTAGTTGGGGACGAAGAGCAACTGCGGGCCTCTGCACACCTGGCGTTGTTCCGCTAGGCAGACAGAGGAGAGCAGCAGCCTTCATGAGCAGCAGCAACAGCAGCAGCAGCAGCAGCAGCAGCAGCAGCAACAGCAACAGCCGCAGCAGCACGGTGGGGCTGTTGTTATTTGAGACGAAGCCCAATGTAGCAGCGCAAGAGCGGCAGAGGCGGCAGGGCGTGCTCACGCATCAGCGTGCTGCTGCCGCTGCTGCTGCTGCTGCTGCAGCTGCTCAGGTGTACGTACACCCCACGCCGCTGGAAGTGTGGGGCCCCTCTCTGGCTGGCAACCCGTTTGCAGGGCGACGCCAGAGAAGTTTATTTGTGAATTATTATTTATTATTTATTCCTCTTTTTCATTTTTCTTTGCCCTCACTCCCAGGCAAACCCACAACAAACCCCTCGGCTCTTTATTTATTTATGCGGCACTCAGAGTCTTCGCTCGTCTTCAAATATACATATATATATATATGCAGATAGATAAATCTATATATTTATTTGTACATATGTATAGATAGCTATTAATATTATACAATCTATATTATATGTATGTACGCATATATATATATATATATATTTACATACGCACGCAGCTATAATAGTCTAAATCGGTGTAAATATGCATTTGTGCTATTTTTATGCATATAGCGATACTTACACAGAGAAACATATTTTACGTATATATATATATATATATGCATCATTGACTATCTAGATAAACAAATAAATGTATATTTATTAGTATGACTTTATTTCGCTTAGAGGGCAGAAGAAAAATTTAATTTGCTTTTAATTAATCACAGTGAGACCAACCATCTCTTCATTCATTCGCCATAAAACATAATAATGCTGCCCTGTATACGTATATATATATATATATATGTTTATGTAGACCTATAAATGCATACAATTTTATTAATGTAGAACATCATTCTAACATATGTAGGCATACACTTGTGTGTAAACACGGATGTACAAATATATATATGTGTACACATATATATATGTATATATATACATATGTATTTATATATAAATGTATATATATATATATATATATATATATATATATATATATATATATATATATGCATATATATATACATTTACATATATATATATGTACAGTATATGGGTTATGCTTTATTTTATTTTGTTTTTTGTGCATTTTCTCTTGTTTAACTAAAAAGTATACAAAAATAAAATAAAATAAAATAAAATAAACTTATTTTTATTCTTATTTTTATTTGCACATACCAACCAACGACAACAGTGGCAGCGACAGCGAGCTATATAATACACCCGAGGGGCTGTCTTTAATATCTTATTGTTTATACTAATTTACAATTTAATTTAATTTATAGTAATCAATTAACAAAGGCAAAAAGAGGATATATGGAAAGAAAACCCCGCCACAGCCCCTGCTGCTGCTGCTGCTGCTGCTGCTGCAGCACAGACAGCCGCTGCCGCCGCATGCACAGGCAGCCCCCAGGCTGCCGGGTTGGGATGTTCCTCTAAATTACCTTCTGTTTGTTTTTCTATTTCTTGTTGCAGCGAAGTAGGACATGAAGGGCGTCATGCACAGGCAGAGAGAGCTGTAGCACAGGCAGCAGCAGCAGCAGCAGCAGCAGCAGCACGGCTCGACTCCCCAGGTGGCTGACAACCCTGGGGTCTTTCTTGGGGCCTTTCGTGTGTTGTGTTGTTTTTCTTTGCTTTTCACTACTCCTGTATTCCTAGGCCGCCAACAGCTCTGTACACGTTTCTGGGTGCAAGACCCCAGTGAGTAGCAGCAGCAGCAGCAGCAGCAACAGCAGCAGCAGCAGCAGCAGACAGAAGATGAGCTATGATCGAGCAATCACCGTCTTCTCCCCTGACGGGCATCTCCTACAGGTGACGCATCCGCAACACCGCAGCAGAAAACAGCAGCACCAACAGCAGCAGCAACAGCAGCAGCAGCAGCATAAGCAGCATAAGCAGCAAAAGCAGCATGAACGGCAGCATAAGCAGAAGCAGCAGCGTAAATAGCAGCAGCAGCAGCGGTACCCAGTGGTTTCTTCAGTTGTGTGTGTACTGTCTAAGGGGCAGACGAGCTAGTGACGGCGTAGGGTTTAGGGTGTAGGGTTTAGGGTTTAGGGTTTAGGGTTTAGCGGTGTTTAGTGTGTATGTACACAGGTGGAGTACGCTATAGAGGCTGTGAGACGCGGGGGTTGTGTTGTGGGTGTGAGAGGCCGCGATGCCGTTGTATTGGCTGTAGAGAGGAAGGCAGCTGCTAAGCTGCAAGAGCCCAGGTAAAACCCTAAACCCTAAACCCTAAACCCTAAACCCTAATCTCTTAAGCGAAACGTGCGTTGCTGGCGCTGAAGAAGGTGGTGTGTGTGGGTTTGCTTGTTCCTGATGGCTTAGGACTGAGGGTTTTAGGGTTTATGGTTTAGGGTTTGTAACTTAGGATGAAGGGTCTAGGGTTTAGGGTTTAGGGTTTAGGGTTTGGGGTAGGCGAGGGTTTCGTTCCGGTTGGTGGAGACACTTTGCAGGCATTCTGTGGTTAAATGCGTTATTAGGAATTTGTTGCTTGCATCTTTTTTCTGCTGTTTATAATTTGTTGTTTATATTTTATTGTTTTTTTATTATTTGTTCTTCATCATTTCTTATTTTTAGCTTATTGTTTATTGTTTATCTTTTTTTCATTTGTTACTATTATTATTTTGACTATTCAGTATTATTATTGTAATATTTATTATTATGATATTTATTATTATTATTATTATTATTACTTATCTCTACAATACATCTTTTAATATCTTTCTTTTCTTCTTTTCTTTATCTTGTTTGATATGCACAGGACAAGCAGAAAATTGGTGTTATTGGATGAGGGTTTGTGCTGCGCCTTCGCGGGGCTGCATGCAGACGCGCGGGTGTTGTTAGCGAAGGCACAGCTGGAGGGGCAGAGCTACCGTCTTAATAATGATACAGCACCTACAGCTGATTATATGGCCAGATATATCGCACAAGTGCAGCAGGTTAAGCAAAACATGCTGCTGCTGCTGCTTTTCTGCTGCTGTTTTGCTGCTGCTGCTGCTGCCGTTGGGCTCCTGGTGGTGGTGCTGCTGCTGCTTTTGTGGTGCTACTGCTGCTGTTGTGGTGATGCTGCGGCTCATGCTGGTGCTGCTTATGCTGCTGTTGCTGTCTTTGCTGCACTGCTGCTGATGCTGCTGTTGCTGGCATTACTTTTGCTGCTGCTGCAGTTGCGTGTGCTGCTGTTACAGCTGCACTTGCACTATTTTTGTTTTTGTTTTTGCTTTTGCTGCTGCGTCTCCTATTCCCGTTTCTAGCCCCACTCCAACTCCCTCAGCTGCTGCTCTTACTACTGTTGCTGCTGTTGCTGCTGCTGCTGCTGTTGCTGCTGCAGAAGTATACACACCGCGGGGGTGTGCGACCGTTTGGTCTGTCAGTGCTGTTGGCTGGCGTTGACTTAGAAGGAAATTTAGCGCTCTATCAAACAGAGCCTTCGGGGATATTTGCTAAGTGGAAGGCGCAGGCTCTAGGAAAGAATGCCAAGGTAAAAAGCAATAAAAATAAAAATTAAATAAAATTAAATTAAAATTAAAATAAAATAGAAAGACTGCGAAATAAATAACAAATAAAAAGGACAAAAATATTTAAAATATTTTAATTAGCAGTTTAAATGAGAAAAAAACAGAAAAAAAATAATTAGGTTTTGTACACTCTACTGAAAATTAACATTAATATATAAACGCATTAAACAGAGCACAACAGAGATAGCAAAGAAAAGAATAAATAATTATTTATATATAATAATAAATAAATAGAATATTGGGTGAAACAAACAAAACAACAAAAAAACACTCAACACACTGAACAGCTCATTAAATACAAGAGACAAACAAACAAAACGAGGAAAAACATAAAACTAACAGGACAGAAGACGCAACACTCAGTCAAATGCATGCATGCATGCATGCATGCATGCAGACCTCCACATCCACACATACTGCATGCATGCAGCATTAATATCCACACAAGCTTCATGCATGCATGCATTACAAGAAGAACAGCTTCGAAGGATGTGCATGCGCTTGGCATTTATGAAGAATATGCATGGTTCTGCATGCAAAATATAAATGTTTTTTTTGAGTTTCAGTAGGTGTTTGACTTGCATGTTATTTTTGTGGGGTGTATGCGTGTGGGGTGTATGCGTGTGGGGTGTATATGTGGGGTGCATGCAGGTGGGGTATATACGTGTGGGTTGTATTGGTGTGGGGTGTATATGCGTTGAGTGTATATGTGTGGGGTGTATATGTGTGGGGTGTATATGTGTGGGGTGTATGTGTGGGGTGTATGTGTATAACGAGCGCAGACTGTGCAAGAATACCTGGAGAAGAATTACAAAGAAGATATGAATGAAGAAGATACTTTTCTTTTAGCAATTAGTGCTGTGGCGGAGGTAGTAGAGGCTGGAAAAAGAAATGTTGAGTGTGTTATAATTACAAAGACAAACACAGAGTTCGTCTCTCCAGATAAAATTGCACAAGAGGTAATAATAATACACCGCAAACAAAGACACAAATTTATACTAAAAATACACCCCAGGAGGCACAGAGAAAGACAGAGACGGAAACAGAAGGAGACAGAGAGAGATGGAGGTAGAGAGAGGGGCAGAGAGAGAAATATAAAGAGACAGACAGCGACAGAGATATCGACAGGGACAGAGACAGACAAGAAGATGCCTCCATTAGTCTTCTCTTTAGGGACCCCTATGAAGGATTGAAGAGGCTCGCTGCTGCATGCAGTTTGGGTTTGCTGCTTCTTTATTTTGTGTACCTCTTTTATCTCCTATATATCTCTTGTTTCTTTCTTTGTGTCTCCTCTGTCTTATATATATATGTATATGTATATATATATATATATATATATATATAGTTTGTTTAGCTCGTGTGTCTCCTGGCGCTCCTCTCTCTGACTCGTTTCTTTGTTTGTTGTATCTGCATTTACTTTACTTATTTATACTTTAGATTTATTTGTATTTATTTATTTTTATTCATTTTAATTTCTTTTTGCTCGCGGATGCTTTTCTGCAGCTGGAGAAGTTGGAGGCCCAGAAGAAATCTGCAGAAGAAGAGGTTAAGCCCGGAGACAGCTAAACCCTAAACCCTAGAGACACCTGAAAACCTAAACCCTAAACCCTCAAGACAGCTGAGCCAAACCCTAAACCCTCGCTGTGAGCGAGACAGGTGTTTCTGCAGCAGCGAGTGTCTCCTCTATAAGGGAGACAAAGAGGGTCTGCGGGGGCCCCCTCCGTAAACCCTAAACCCTTGTTATGCGCATGCATAAACTGCGGAAGCAGCCGCAGGAAGCCTTGCTGCATGCATGCAAGCGGGTGTCTGTACACCGCATTGCTTTAAACCTTTAAGGGTTTGCATGCGCTGTCTTTGGTATTGTACTGGAAGACATGCGCTAATAGAAAAAAGAAGATAAAAGAAAAGAAACCCCGGGTGTACATACACCGCCAGCACGAGGGCCCCCAGTCCGCGGCATCTAAGCCCTAATAAAACCATAGCTAAACCCTAACAAAACCCTAGCTAAACTAGCTAAACCCTAATAAAACCCTAGCTAAACCCTACTAAATCCCTAGCTACACCCTACTGAACCCTCAACTAAATAAACCTTAAACCCTAAGTAAAGAGGGCCGCATTGGCTTTAAAACACCAGAGGACAGCGAGAGACTTGCGAGGAAAACAATCAAATAAATAGACAACTGAAGGCAGCGGCTAAGGAGACAGAGAGAGAGGGGGGGCCCCTAAAATAACCTCTAAAAGAATTCAAACAAGAACACTGGCAAACCCTAGTAAGGGTGTAATTCATGAAAAAAGCCCTCAGAAGGACCTTCTTAGTCTTTTCGCCGCTTCTTCATCGCTTGCAGCAAATCAAACAACAACAAAAACAACAGTAAACAACAACGCCAACCCTGACCACAGGGGCCCCAGAAGGGGGCCCCACAGGAAGGCCCTAAAAGGGGCCCCACAGGGGGCTCATAGTTAGCCTAAAGGGGGCCCCACAGAGGGCCCCATAGTGGGCCTAAAGGGGGCCCTACAGAGGGCCCCATAGTGGGCCTAAAGGGGGCCCCACAGGGGGGAATAAAAGGGGGCCCCACAGGGGGGCCCCACAGAGTCTTCTATGTGTACGGGTATTTCTCCTTGTGCATGCATAGGTAGCTGCATTGGGGCTTTTTTTGTACAGACCAAGGATGAGGGGAGAGACACGCTTTAATCTGCTTGGGCGTGTATACTGGATTCTCTTTCTTGTACTTACGCATTCATAATATATATAATAATTGCATATATATAATACTACCTGCACAGGGCATATATATATATATATATATATACATATATATACATATATATAGTATAAATCAATGCATGCAACTGTATCGCATGCATTGTGTGCGTAGTTATGATTGTTTGTGTGTGCTAGTACACGCATTATATGCATGCATTATTATATGCGTGCATTATTATTTGCATGCAAATAATGAGCGCTACATTTCCAGAAGGACCATACAAACACCCAGAAGTAAATGCTTCTATACTATACGCATGCACGCATAAACATAAGCCTGCGAGCATGCATGCATGCATGCATACATACGTATGCATTTGTGTATGTGTGTGTATGTGTATGTGTGTGTGTGTGTGCTTTGTCTAAATAAGCAGTCATGCTGCCGCTACACCTTGCAAATGCATGCATGCATGCATGCATTTGTCTCCACTTGGCTTCCTGTATGCATCTATGCATGCAGGTATTGAGTTCGTTAGTGTGTATACAAGCTCAATGCATGCATGCATGCATTGAGCTTGTTAGGGTGTATGGTATATCTAGCGTGTGTCCTGCTGCAGCCACGCATTGGGGAAGATAATAGCAGCAGCAGCACCGAGTCTCTCTAATATCTGATTAACACTGAGGCCCCTTCCGTGATGTCTGTAGGCTAGAGCAGCAGCTTGTCTTGTGAGTAGGCTTGCTGCATGCATTAAGAAGAGTTTTGGGGCTGTGCTGCTGCTACAGAAAGGTACATTAAGACCCATGCCCTCTATGCATGCAACCAATTCCCGCTGCTGCTGCTCCTGCTGCTGCATTTGCTGCTGCTGCTGCTGCTGCTGCTGCTGTCCGCCCACCCTCTCACCCCACACCAGCATCTGCGCTAAGACACCACACAATAAATCTCCCTGACCCCCAGAGCGTTTGGGGGCCCCTAAGAAGCGAGCATCAAGACTACCAACTGCAGCAAACACTTCTCCTTCCTGCTGCTGCTCGAAGCCTGCATATGCTCCCAGCAGATCTACTCTCCCCTTTGCAAAGACACAAGGGCCCCGCAGCAGCGCCACTGTCTCTCTTATGTTCATCGTTAGGCTCTCTGCTTTTATTGACTCCGGGAATAATGCATGCGCTGGACAGGGCAAGAAACGTTCTCTTACTGCTGCGACCCCACTCTGCTGCTGCTGCTGCTGCTGCTGCTGCTGCCGGCGCATCAGCGCCTGCAGCAGCAACTCTAATTCATACGCATTTGGTGTTAATACCGCATCCCCGTACCCCTCCAACAAAGACAGAAAATGTTCGTGTCCTGGGATCGATAAAATGCGAAGCATGTCCGCATCCAAGATCTGCAACGGCAGCAGCAACAGCAGCAGCAGCAGCAGCAACAGCAGCAGCAGCAACGCTCATTAAAGCCCCTCCACACCACTTCGCAAGCAAAGAGGGCCCCAGAGAGATATGCATGCATTGAAATTTGACAATGGAGTAACTGCGCACTCTTTGGCCGCTTTTTCTGCTGCTGCTGCTGTTGCTGCTGCTGCTGCTGCTGCTGCTGCTGGACTTACGAGGGGTTTGCGTAGGTGCATGCAGAGCCTCAGCAGCATAATTGCTGCTTTTTGGGTGACAGAAGCAGCAGATTCTGCCTCTCTTGCAGCAGCTTTAAGGCGTGCGTAGTCCATAGTAGCGGGGTTGGTTGGGTCAGCTGCTGCTGCTGCTGCTGCTGCTGCTGCTGCCTTCTGATCTGCTGCATTGCAAGACGAAGAGCTGCCCCTCACAACCTTATGCACATCTTCTAATGCGCCTTTAAACAATTGAGACAAGCGGCCTCCAGGCTTATCTCCTGAACTGTGCGCGTGCTGCTGCTGCTGCTGCTGCTGCTGCTGATGGTGGTGGTGGCGGTGCTGCTGCTGCACATCATCTTCCTCGTGAATGCGGTAGTTGCTGCTGCCTCCAAGGCCAGGGCCTATCACAACGACATCCGCCTTGCGAAGCACAGGCTCCGCCTGAGAACAACACGCACGCCCTTTCTTGCTGCTGCTGCTGCTGCTGTTGCTGTTGCTGTTGCTGTTGCTGTTGTTGCAGTTGCCGCTGGAGAAGGGAATGAAGAAACAAGTGCTGCACCACGTGCAGCAGCAGCAGCAAACGCAAAGACAGCAGCAGCAGCAGTAGTATCAGCAACAACGTCAGCAGCAGCAGCAGCAGCAGCAGCAGCAAATGCGCACATGGATCCTCAGCCGCGCCAACTCCATCTGATAGTCGAAGGGGCCCTCATGCGCACTGCCCTTCCCGTGCACTTCGTAGCGGCAAGGTAAGATCTGCAGCAGCAGCAGCAGCAACAGAAGCAGCAGCAGCAGTAATAAAGACAAGACCTGCTCGCTGCTGCGATAAGATAAAGCCACGGCAATGTCATATACAGGGAGGGGTAGAAACAGAAGTAGCAAACTGCAGCAGCAGCAGCAGCTGCTGCTGCAGGTGGTGTTGCTGCTGTTGCAGCAGGTGCTGCTGTAGCTGCTGCTGCTGCTGCTGCTGCAGTAGAGACACATACAGGATATACAAGAAGCTCTGGGCTGTACGACTTAATTGGCACCGCAGCGCTGGGCGTAGTTATAATCGTAGCCAAATCCGCACCCTGCAAACACAAACCCTAAACCCTAAACCCTAAATCCTAATCCTCAGGCACGAAACGCGAAGCCCTAGGGCCTAAACGTGAAGCCGTAAACCCTAGCTAGACCCTAACCCCTCAGCAGATAACTCTAAACCCTAAACCCTAAGCATGTAACTCTAACCCCTAAACCCTAGGCACATAAGCCTAAACCCTAAACCCTAAACCCTAAGTTTTTACCATGCGCAGCGCCGCAGCGGCAACGAAGTAGGGGGCCCCTGTATAAGCTGCCGACCCCCCTATAACACAAACCTTCCCTGCAGCAGCAGAAGCAGCAAAACCAGCAGCAGCAGCAACAGCAGCAGATGCAGCACAACCAAATGCAGCAACGCAGAAGGCGCTAACCCGCCTAGTTCGCTAGCCGCAGCCAGCTAGCTAGCTAGCTAGGCCAGCGGAGCAATCAAAAACAAAACGGAATACTAAACCCTAAACCCTAAACCCTTAAAACAAACCCTTGCTCGCCTACCGTATCTGCCCTTGTGCTCCCTGAAGTCAATTGAAGGCAGCAGCACCTCCTCCACAACTGCAAAGCAACACGCAACCCTAAACCCTAAACCCTAAACCCTAAACCCTAAGAACTTCGCTGGCACTGCGAACGTCGATTGCTGCATTCGTTGCGGGTTTGCTGCCGCGGCTGCGCTGTTACTGGTAGCAGCAGCAGCAGCACCAATAGCAGCAGCACCAATAGCAGCAGCAGCAATAGCAGCAGCAGCAGCAGCAACAGCAACAGCAGCACCAGCAGCAACGGTTGCTGCTGCTTCACCTCGTAGCCACTGGTTTGTTGCCTTATGTGCTGCGTCTGTTTCGTCCTTCGTGAGCACCAGCATATGCGATGGCTTGTGTTGGGAATGCACTGCTCCCGCTGCGCTGCTGCTGCTGCCGCTGCTGCTGCTGCTGCCGCCGCCGCCGCCGCCGCTGCTCCCGCCACCCGCAGAGAGCTGCCCTGCAGACTGTTTATGCGCCATCCCTGCTACTGCAGCGTCTGCTGCCGGTGTTTGTGCTGCTGCTACTAGTGTTTGTGCTGCTGCTACTGCTTGCGCTGCTGCTGCTGCTGCTGCTGCTGCTATTCGTGGTGCTGCAGCAAGAACGATCCGCGTTGCTGCAGCTTCTGGAGCCACTGGAGTTGCTGCCTGGCGAAAGATGTAGGGCGAAAAGCTTGAAATAGCTGAGAGTTGCTGCTGCTGATGCTGCTGCTGCGGCTGCTGCAGCCGCCTGGACAGCAGGAGCACACGCAGGGGGGCCCTGGCGATGAAGACGCTGCTGCTGCTGCTGCTGCTGCTGCTGCTGCTGCTGCTGCAACGGGAAAGGCAGGAGAGCATTAAACAGCAAAGCACAGCAACAGAAGGGCGTAGAGGCAGAGAAAGCTGTATGCTGCAGCTGCCGATGCTAATGCTTCTGCTGCTTCTGTTGCTGCTGCTGCTGCTGCTGCTGCTGACGCTGCTGTTGTGTGCCGAGGTTAGGAAAGGAGCTTAACTGTAAAATTAATACACACAAAAGCAACTACAAATTGCAAAGCACACTTAACGCGATGCGGCAAAACAACAACAGCAGCAGCAGCAGCAGCGGCAGCAGCAGCAGCAGCAGCACAGGAGGGAATGGCGCATGCACACCCTCACTCACACTCGTTGCTGTTCTTCTTTATTTTCTTCCTTAAGAGCTCCACAATAAATGCCGGAGTTTTACCAGCTGAAAAGCGAATCTAGTTTCAACACGAGAAGCAGCAGCAGCAGCAGCAGCAGCCAGAGCAGCAGCTGCTGCGGTGGGGTTGTTAGGCTACGGTTGGTCTGCTGTAGCCGCAGCAGCAGCAGCAGCAGCAGATTGAAATTTTTGCAACAACCTGAGCAAAATAAAGGCGTTTAGTTTTTATTTCTTCTTTAGTCTTCACCTGTCTTTGTTTTTTGTTTGTTTGTTTGGAGCCGCAGCAGCTGCCAGCCGCCGCAGCGCCACGAGAGTCCAATGGTGCAGCAGCAGCAGCAGCAGCAGCAGAAGCAGCAGCAGCAGTGTCTGTCTGCACAACAGCGCCTAGTGCCCGGTGTCAATAGTTTGGCTTTCTTTTCTCCGATCTCATTCTCCTAAGTCGAAGGCAGCAGCATTACCGGCAGCAGCAGCAGCAGCAGCAGCAACAGCAGTTGGGTCTGTTTGCACGAAGAGTTGGTCTTCTTGCATTTGGCTTTGGTTTGTGGGTTTGTATTTCATTCCCCCACATGGGGAGCGGCAGCAGCAAGAGCAGGATCAGCAGCCATAGCAGCAGCAACAGCGTCAAGACAATGAGCGCTGCAGCATCTGCAGCATCTGCAGCAGCTGCACCAGCTGCAGCAGCAGAAGGGGGGCCCACCTTGGGGGCCCCCCCTTTGCCTGTGAAGGCAGCAACAACCTTTCTAGGGTTTAATAGCGACGCTACTTGTCTCTGCGTCGGCACCACTGCTGGTTTTCTTGTTTGGAGTGTACGCCCTCTACGGTGTATGTACACCTGCGTCTGCGGGCCAGTAACCCTCGTAGAGATGCTCCTAAATACCAGCCTTGTTGCTGTTGTCGGTGCGTAGTTCGTGCTGCTGCTGCGGCTGCTGCTGATGCTACTGATGCAGCTGCTGCTGGTGCGGCTGTTGCTGATGCGGCTGTTGCTGATGCGGCTGCTGCTGATGCTGCTGCTGCTGATGCCGGTGCTTTTGCTGCTGCTGCTGCTGCTGGGTGTGGTAATGGCGTTGGTGGATTCAGTGAGAGGGCAACTGGTCGTGCTGCTACTGCTGTTGTTGCTGTTGTTGCTGCTGCTGTTGCTGCTGCTGTGCTGGCTCTGTTCTTGTGAGGATTGTGTTGCTGCTGCTGCTAGTTCTACTGCAGTTGCTGCACCTTGCTGCTGCATCCGCCTTTGCTGTACCACTCCCGCAGACCCAGCATCAGCAGAAGCAGCATTGGTTTTCTGCTGCTGCAGCAGCAGAAGCAGCAGATGCACAGACACGATCAGCTGCAGCAAGACTTGCTGCTGTTTGTGTGTCTGTTTCCTTTGCTTAGGCAGCGGGATGAGCAGCAGCAGCAGCCGCCGTATGCTGCGGCTATTTAACTGCAAGCCCTCTCCCGCAGCTTCAAGCAGCAACAGCAGCAGCAGCAACAGCGGCAGCAGTTTGATTGGCTGTGTAACTCAGCCTTATGCAATATGCGGGGTGAAGCTAACGCCAGAAAGACTTGTGCTGCTGACGGAGAAGCATATATCTGTGTACGTGCTGCAGTCTCTGTCGCTGCTGCGGACGCTGGAGAGACACCCGAAGCTGCCGCAGCAGCCACGGGGGCTGTTTGCTGCTGCTGGTACGGCAGCTGTTGCTGCTGTTGCTGCTGCTGCAGCATCTGCTGCTGCTGCACGAGAACCCGAGGTGCTGCCACCTGACTCATGGGAAGCAGATGCTGCAGCAGCTAACGGACAGGCGCATGCTGCTGCTGCTGCTGCTGAAGCAAATGATGCGGTAATGGCTGTGGGGTGGTGCCCTCAGCACAGCTATCTTGCGCTCCCAGCAGGGCCTCGGTGCGTTTACTCTTCATGCTGCTGCTGCTGCTGCTGACTGTTTCTGCTGCTGCTGCTGCTGCTGACTGTTTCTGCTGCTGCTGCTGCTGCTGCTGGTACGGTGGTTGAGGTTTCTGTTTCGTGTAGTGCTTCTGTTGCTGTTCTTTCTGCTGTTGTTGCTGCTTCTGTAGCGGTTGTGATATTAAAGACACATTTGCTGTGCATTCAAGGGAGCATACATTGGGGTGTATAGGGAGTTGTTTGTTTGTTTGCGTTGCTGCTATTTGCTGCTGCTGCTGCTGCTGCTTGTTAGAGACGGAGGCGCGGGGGTCTTGTGCCTCTTCAACTTACTCAGCACGCGGTTTGCTGCTTGGAGATGTACACACGAAGAGCCGCTTAGGGCGATTGTCTTTTCTGCTTCTGTCTCTCTTGTTGCTGCAATCTCTATCAAAGTAAACTCTTGCTGATCCTCCTACTGAAGCTGCTGCTGCTGCTGCCGCTGCTCTTTGTGCTGCTGCTGCTTCTGCTGGTAGGAGTGTTGGTGGCGCTGCTGCTGTTGTTGCTGCTGTTGCTGTTGCTGTTGCTGTTGCTGCTGCTTCTGTTGCTGTTGCTGCTGCTGCTGCTGCTGCTGCTGTGCTGGGGGCGACGGCTTCTCGGTTGGAGTAATGGGCGCTGAGCGAAATACATGGCAGCAGCAGCAGCAACAGCAACTGTACAGTAGCAACGCCGGAGGCAGCATCACCAGAGGCAGCGGCAGCAGAATTACAGGGGCTGCTGCTGAGCTCAGCAAAGCAGACAGAGGAGCCGCAGAGCAGCTGTTTGCTGCTCTTGTTCTGCCTCTTGCTAATGTGTCTGCTGCTGCTGCTGTTTTTTTCTGCTGCTCTTGTCTTTTGTCTTGCGTTTGCTGCTGCCGTCTTCTGTGTACTGCTGCCTTTTTGTGTTAGCTGCTGCTGTTGTGCTTTTGCTGCCGCTGTCTCGTGCCTGCTGCTGCTGTCTCATGTCTGCTACTGAAGTGCTGCGGCTGCTGCTGCTGCTACTACCTCGTGTCTTGTCCGTTGCTGTTTGCTGCTGCTGCTGCTAATGCTGCTTCAGGCTTCCGTCGTTCGTATTTTTTCTGTTCCTTCTCTGGAGGCGCTGCTGGCTCTTCACTTGCATTCACCGCAGCTGCTGCTGCAGGCAGCAAGACCCCTTTCGCTGCAATCCACTGTCCGCACAACAGCAGCTACCAGCAGCAGCAGCAGCAGCAGCAGCAGCCGGCGTGCTGCAGCAGATTGGGTAGCTACCGCTGCAGCCCCTTTGCCAACGAGAGGCAGAGAAAGTTGCGGCAGCTCAGTCAAACTCCAAGGCACGGAGTTGCCGCACTCTGCTGCTGCTGCTGCTGCCGCTGCTGCTGCTGCTGCAGCTGCTGCAGCGGATACAGCACACGAGGCGGCAGCGGCAGCACCAGCCGCAGCAGCAAAAACGGTAGCAGCAAGCGCTGAAGCCAAGTCTCCGCAGCAGCAACAGCAACAGCAACAGCAGCAACAGCAGCAGCAACAGCAGCAGGGAAACAGCAAGAAGCAGAAGCAGAAGAAAACCGTTGGTATGCGAGGGAGCAGTAAGAACACGAACGCAAACCCAGTAATGCTCGATGCAGATGCTGCAGCAGAGGGACCCGCCTGTGTTGCTGCGGCTGCCCCTGCTGCTGATTCTCCAACGTCTGCTGCTGCTGCTGCTGCTCGCCCTATGTCCAGCGGTGCAGCAGGTAGCCAGCGGCAGCGCGGAGAGTCTGCTGGTAGCAGCACAGCCAGCAGGCCCCCCCCGAAGGGCAGGATCTCCAAACAGAAACAGAGACAGCAGCAGCAGCAGCAGCAGCTACAGCAGCAGCAACAGCAGCAGCAGGAGCAGCAGCAGCAGCAACAGAAAAAGCAGAAGGAGGAGCAAGAGCAACACGACTCACCGCCCCCCGCCTTGCGTTCACAGGTTGCCGCCAAAGAACGGCACTCAGTCAGTAGCAGCAACAGTAAGACGAGCAGCAGCAGCAGCAGCAGCAAAGCGCGGCGCAGCAGCTGCGGCGGGACTTCCAGTAGCAGCGAGGAAGACGAGGAAGCGTTTGAGAGTGCTGGGAACTTCAGCAGCAGCAGCAACTGCAGCAGCAACAGAAGCCGAAACGGTAATAGCAGCAACAAGACCAAGAACAACAACCGAAGTGGAAGTAGCAGCAGCAGCAAATGCAAAGATGGCAGCAGCGGCAGCAGCAGCAGCAGCAGTAACCTTCCAGTGGGCAGCGCTGGAGTAGGCTCCGCATCCTCGAAGGCGTCGGATGATAAGGCAGCAGCAGCATGCGCGACAGCTTCGGCTCCTGCAGCAGCAGCATCAGGTCCTGCAGCAGCAGCATCCGTCCCTGCAGCAACACCTTCTGCTGCTGCTGGGGACTACAAAATGTCAGCACGGCAAAGGAAGAAGAGAGAGAAGATGCTGCAGCAGCAGGCAGCTGCTGCGCGGCTCGCCGAGGCTGCAGCCCTGGAGCAAGAGCAGCAGCAGCAGCAGCAACAACAGCAGCAGCATTCTGGCCTTCCTGCTGGGGTAGCTGGCCCGTCTGCGTCCGTTGAGAAAGGCAGCAAGCGCTCTACAGCATCTGCAGGTGCAACGAGAGAGGCAGCAGCAGCAACAACAGCATCAGCAGATGCAGATGCTGCGGCTGCGACAGTTGAGCGCGTTGCTGCTTCTCCCCAGCAGCAGCAACAACAGAAGCAACAGCACCGCATGGAGCACCACGGAGACACCGGGGGCCCAGCAGCAAGTCATGATCGTTCCGCAGCAGCAGCAGCTTCCCCAGCAGCAGCAGCAGCAGCAGCTGCTGCTGCTGCTGCTGCAGTGGGCAGGCATCCGACCACTGGAGTAGAGAAAGAAGTTGAAGAAGAAGAATGGGTTTTCTGCGAGGCCTTTAGCAGCAGCAAAGGCACAGCTCAGCAGCAGCAGCAGCAGCAGGAAGGAGACAGTGGGAGACTCAGCAGCCGCAACAGCGCGGCGCTGTCAGCAGAATGGGATAACGTAGAGACACCTGGTGCTTTCACCCCTTCGGGTTGCTGCAGCCCTTTCAGCAGCAGCAGCAACCATAACTGCAGCAACAAGAAGGAAGCAGAAGCCCCTGATGATGCACTCAGCCGCAAGGCAGCAGCAGCAGCAGCAGCATCAGCATTAGAGGAGGCCTCGGCGTCCCGCGATGGCAGCTGGGTGGGGAAGCCGAACATGCAGCTGCTTGCTGATTCATTTAAACTTCTTGTTGACGACGCTGACACAAACCAGCAGCAGCAGCAGCAGCAGATGCTGCTGCCTCCAGCTTGGCTGGGCTTCTCTGAGGGCAGCAGCAGCGGGGCCGGCAGCCACCGATCTGACGGCAGCACCGGGGGAGGCGCAGAATGCGCTGAAACGCCGCAGCAGCAGCAACAGCAGCAGCTGTTGCAGCAGCAGCAGCAGCTGTTGCTGCAGCAGCAGCAGCGCGAGGAAGCAGCAAAGGCACCACAGCAGCGAGGGCTGATTCAACTTACTGGGGAAGCTGCATGCGGCACAGCTTTAAAAGAAGGAGACGCGCTGCGGCAGGTGTCGCTTACCTTCTCTGGCTGCAGCCGAATCTTCACAGTCTCGAGTAAGGCTGCTGCTGCTGCTGCTGCTGCTGCTCCTCTTGCTCCTGCCGCAGTTGCTTCTGCTGCTTTGCTGCTGTTGCTGCTGCTGTTTCTGGTGGTGGTTTTCGTCTTGACATTGCTTGTGCTTTCTTCCAGACAGTGGAGGAGCTACACGGCTTAACTTCTGAGGCTGCTGCTGCTGCTGTTGCTGCTGCTGCTGGTGCTGCAGGAGGCGATGGTCTCGTCTTCGTCTTCAGCCTACCCTGGACTCCAGAGGAACTGCAGAGACACTCCAAATGCGGAGTGGCTGCGCAGCAGCAGCTGCTGCGGACGCTGATTCAGGGAACAGCAGGAGCAGGCAGCAATCAGGGCGGCGCTGCTGCTGCAGCTGCAGCGCCATCAGACAGTGCTACGATTGCTGCAGCAGCTGGAGCAGCAGCAGCACCCCACGGCGCGGCTCTTTCCCAGGCTGCCAATGCTACTGGAAGCAGCAGCAGCAGCAGAACCAGCAGCAGCAGCAAACTTTCGAATATAACAGGAGTTGCCACTGTACGCTCGGTGCCGCGTTTTGTGTCTCTTTGCTGTTCTGGTTGCTCCTGCTGCTGCTACTGCTGCTGCTACTGCTGCTGCTACTGCTGCTGCTACTGCTGCTGGTGCTGCTGCTGCTACTGCTGCTGCTGCAGGAGCATGAGATGCGGTGCTGTGTCTCCGTGTGCTGCTGCTGCTGCTGCCTCCAGTCTGCTTTGGCGTCTCTTACTTCTATGCTGCTGCCGGCCTCTGTCAGTGAGAGGCTGCTGCATGCACGGGGCTGCGATTGCTGCATCTCTCTTCCTTCCTCAGCTAAGGGCAGGTGAGCTAACCTTCTTCTTCTTGAGCAGCAGCAGCAGCAGCAGCAGCAGCAGGCGTTGCTGCTGGTGGATTGCCTCTGCTGGCTGCTGCTGGCTGCTGCTTGCTGCTGCTTGCTGCTGCAGCAGCAGCTGCCTGGGGTAATATTTCTGCTGCTTGTTTGTGCGTGGGGGGAGCGTTGATGTTTGCTCTGCTGCGGTTTGCATAGGCGTCTGTTTTCTTGCTGCTGCTGCTTCTGTCTCCTTTTGTTGCTTTGTTTGCTGCTGTTGGCACAAAGCTGCTGCGGCGTCTCGGAGGCAGCAGCAGCAGCAGCTGCTGCTGCTGCTGCCGCGTTGTTTTGTGTCTCCCTTGTTGAATCTCTTGTCTCTTTTTGTGTTTTTTTCTCGTTCTATTTCTACTCTCTCGTTTATTATTGTTTGAAGTCAGACAAATAAACAAAACTTATTGGTGGATCTGCAATCTCTCCTACTGTCTCTGTCTCTGTCTCTGTCGCTGTCTCTATCTTTATTTTTATCTGTGTCTCTGTATCTGTCTGTCTCTGTCGCTGTCTCTTGTCGCTGTCTCTGTCTCTATCTTTTGTTTATCTTGCTTGTATGTGTACCCTGTTTGTTTGCTGCTTGTTTGTTTGTTTGTTTGCTTGTTTGTTTTTGTTTGTTTGTTTGCTGCTGCTGCAGCAGCAGCAAACAAACAAACAAAAACAAACACAGCTGCTGTCAGTGTTTATCTGTCGGCATTCTCGCCGTGTACTTGCTGCTGCTTTTGCTGCTGCTACTGCTGCTGCTGCTGCTGTGTTGCAGTGTGGCGTGTGTGGCTCCTTCTGACCTTCTCCCAGGCGACGAATTTGAAGTACGTCATCACAACAGCAAATAGCAACAGCAGCAGCAACAGCAGCAACAGAAGCAAGAAGCAGCAGCGATTCCAGCAGCAGCAGCAGCAGCAGCAGCAGCAGCAAACGCAGATTAGCCTGCTGGGGTATTGGGATCGATTTGCTGGGAGCTGCTGCTGCTTGCAGCTCGCTGTTCATCGTTGTCTCCTTAGTGTCACCCTTTTTTGCTGCGGCTGCTGTGCCTGATGCTGCTGCTATTACTGCGACTACTGCTGCTGCTGTTGCTGCTGCTGTTGCTGCTCTGCTGCTGCTGCTTGTCTCGCAGGTCTTTGTGGGCCTCAACAGCGGCTTCGCCTACACCTACAGCTGCCAGCTGCACCCATCGAGCAGATATCGGTGAGTCCGCCGCAGCAGCAGCACAAGCTGCAGCAGCAGCAGCAGCAGCAGCTGTAGCAGCATACTGCTAGCAGCACTGGGCAGTTGCTGGATTCCGCTGCAGCTTTGACTGCGCTTAATGGCGCGGTTTTTATGTCGCTGCATTTGCTGCTGCTACATTCGGCGTTGCTCTATTTGCTCCTGCTGCTGCTCCTGCTGCTGCTGCTGCTGCTGCTAAACCAGGCTTCGCGACGAGCAGATCCTGGAGACCCAGAGGAGCGACAGCTAATGCTGTGTCTGACTTCAAGCGTTGAGTACAACAGCAGCAGCAGCAGCAATGTGCATGTGCACATGAAGGCTGCTGCTGCTGCTCTGTGTTCTAGCCTGAGAGCAGCTGTTAAGACCGGCGCACGAATGCCGGAATTCCTTTGCAAGTGTAGCAGCAGCAGCAGCAGCAACTGCTGCTGCTGCTGCAGTCACGCATGCTTCTTGTAGGCCCATACGGGTTTTGCCGATTGCGTACCGGGTGCAAGAAGCTGCACCACCGGCTGCTGCTGCTTCTGCTGCAGCAGCAGCAGCTGCTGCAGCAGTTGTAGTAGGGAAATGGAAACTGTAAACAGCAGGATCCTGCAGCAGCAGCAGCTGCTGCTGCTGCTGAAGCCCCCTTTATCGTAGCCCCCTTGGATTTTGCTGCAGCAGCAACAGCGGCGGCAGCAGCATTGGGTGTAGCAACAAACAAGGCTGTTGCTGCTGCAGTTAGCTTGCTTCAGCGCCCCAAAAAGCTATTTGTCTGCTTTATCTTCTTAATCCTTGTTCCTTTAAGAGATCCCGAATGCCGCAAGTTGTGCTGCAGTTACAGAGGCTTCAACGAGAAGCAACAAGCTCAGTTTGCTGCTGCTGTCGCAGCAAGAGCAGCAGCAGTACTCCTTCTGCTGCTGCAGCAACTGAACTAGTGTAACGAGACCGACCATCATCTAAATAACTTTGCTGCAGGTGTGCGCAGCAATGTCAGGCGCAGGTGCACGCAATACCTTGCAGCAGCAGCAGCAGCAGCTGCTGCTGCTGCTGCTGATGCGCTGCATAGCTAAGCCGTAGTTGGCTGTCCTTCTGCCCTGTCTATGCTAGAAACCCTAAACCCTAAACTCTATTCTACTGTGAATGCGACTAGCTGCTGCTGCTGCTGGCTGCTGCAGCACTAGGCCCAAGAGCTGCCGTTTCACCCGGCAGTCACCCCTCGGCTGCACAAGAACCCTTCCACCAGCAGCAGCAAAGGCAACAGCAGCAACAACAGCAGCAGCAGCAACATCAACAGCAGCATGAAAACATGTCTATTAAGACAACAAAACAGGTTGTAAGCGAAAGCAAGAGACACTACAGACAGGAGGAAGCAGAACGCGTGCTGCCCCTCGGGTACGATATTGCTGCAAAGGTGCTGCTGCTGCTGGTGCTGCAGCAGCTGCTCCACTGTTTAGAGCCGGGATCGCAGCACTTAGTTTCTGCTGCTGCAAGACACAAACAACCCGCCTGCTGCTGCAGAGCAGCAGCAAAAGGCCGTACTGCCAACATTCGTTGAGATGCAGCACCGTGCCCCTCCTAATCCAGTGCACACGCATGTGCTGCTGCTGCTGCTGCTGCTGCTGCTGCAGACACTCCCCGAGGCGAGGCCTGAAGAGCTGCTGCAGCAGCTGCTGATGCTCGTGTCGCCATAGACCGCAAGGAACGAAGGAGGGGGCGGTGCTGAGCGCTGCTTTTGCTGCTGTTGCTGCTGTTGCTGCTGCTGCTGTTGCTGCTGCTGCTGTTGCTGCTGCTGTTGCCGCTGTTGGTGCTGGAGTTCGCACTGTTTTGCCGGGGCCTATGAGCAGCTGGTGCTGCAATTGGTGCTGCAGTTTGTGCTGCTGCTGCCGCAGCAGCAGGAAGCGAAGGCGTGCTTCCGGCGTCTTCTGACGTGCCATTTCTCTTGCCCACCGTCCGCTGCTGCTGCTGCTGCTGCTGCTGCTGCGGTTGCTGCTGCTGAGGCGTGGAGCTGTTGCTAGCGCTGCTGCCTGCTGCTGCTGCTGTTGCTGTTGCTGCTGCTGCTGCTTCTGCTGCCCTAGGCCGTAGTGACATGTACGCTGTGGATGCTGCAGCCCTTGGCGTATTGCCTGGAGCCTCATGAGCAGCAGAGAGCGAAGGCAGGCTGCTACTGCTGCTAATGTTGCTGCTGCATCTGTTGCCGGTAGCAGCAGCAGGAGCAGCAACAGCAACAGCAACAGCCTTGCGGCGCCCTCGTCGCGCTTCTCTGGGAGATTCGTTGCTGCTGTTATTGCAGTTGCCGTTGCTGCTTTTGTGTGGATTGTCGCTGCTGCGAATGTTGCTGCCTCCAGCGGCAGCAACAACAGCAGCAGCAGCAGCAATTTCTTCTCTGTCCGCAGGCGAGCCCTCCTCCTGGGCGCTGCTGCCCTGTGGCAATCGGATGTTTTCTGCCCCTGCAGCAGTGCGGCGATATAAAGACTTACGAATGCTGCTGCTGCTGCTAATGTTGTTGCTGCTGCTGCTGCTGCCGTTGCAGGTGCGACGCCGTGCTGCAGCACCATGGCTAGGTTCGTCTGCTTCGCTGCTGGAGTCCCCTGGGCCCGACTCAAGATGGCGGCGCTTAACAGTCTGCTGCTGCTGCTGTTGCAGTTGCTGCTGCTGTTGCTGCTGTTGTTGCTCCTGCGGCTGTTGCACTTCTTGCTGTTGTTGTTGCTGCTGCTGCTGTCGTGGGTTGCGGCACCGCAGCAGCATCGTACCCCTCAGGCGTCCTGTCTCTACTTCTGTACAAGCCCGCGGGGAGGCAGCAACAACTGCAGCAGGAGCAACGGCAGGAGCAGCAGCAGCAGCAGCATCACACACTGTGTCACTGCCTTCCGTTAGAGGAGGCTTCCTCTTCAAACAGCAGCTGGCGCTGTTTCCGCTGCTGTTGGTGCTGCTGCTGTTGGTGCTGCTGCTGTTGATGTTACTGCTGTTGCTGCTGCTGTTCTCTATAGAAGCTGCAGAAGCAGGCGATCCTCCGCCTGCTGCAGCAACTGCAGCAGCTGCTGCTGCTCTGGTTGTTGCTGCACCTGAACGAGCAGGGACTGCGCTGCTGTTGCGGCTGCTGTAGCTGCTGTGGCCTAAAGCTGCTGCTGCAGCTGCCGGCGAGATCCCTGCAGCTTTTGCTGCTGCAGTGCGGGGTCCTGCAGCAGCAGCAGCGGCTGGAGAAGCAGCAGCTGCAGTAACAGCTGCAGTAGCAGCAGCAGCAGGAGCTGCAGCAGCATGACCTGTCCAAGCAGCAGCAGCATTTGAAGGGCTTTCTGCAGCAGCAGCTTCTTCTTTTGCTGCTGGCTCCTCTTTCTCTGCTGCACGCTGTCGCAGCCCCCTCCGTCGCACCGCTGGAATTGCTGCTGTGGCCTCCTCTGTTGCTGCTGTTGCTGCTGTCGTTACTGCTGTCGTTGCTGCTGGCGCTGCGGCTGCACTCCGGAGGCGGCTGTTCCCCTCTGTTAGCACTTTGTCTTCTCTACCGCTTGCTGCTGTCGCTGCCGTCACAGCAGCAGGAGCAGCAGCAGCACCAGCTGCAGCAGCAGCACGACGCATTTGAGCGCCACCTGGAGGCCCAGACACACTAGAACCCGCCGCAACTGCAGCAGCACTGGCTACGGCAGCAGCACTGGCAGCAACAGCAGCAGAGCGCCGCTCTTTATCAAGCCGTGGCGAAGGTACTACCGCTTCTGCGGGTTGCTGCTGCTGCTGCTGCTGCTGTTTCTCTTGCAGCTGCTGCTGCCGCCGCTCTCTGCCGCTCGAAGGCCCAATTATAGACGAAGAGGATGTGGGAGGTTGGGAGTCGCGCGGTTGCTGCTGTTGCTGCTCCTCTTGCTGCTGCTGCTGCTGCTGCTGCTGGTCCTGAGCTTTGGTATGGGAGAAGTGGTGCGGTAGCAGCAGCTGCTGCTGGTGCCGCAGCAACGCAGGGGGCCTCAACTCAAAGCAGCAAACCTCAGGCTTGACCTTCCCGTGCTTCAGCAGCGCCGCCACCTCGTGTGGCAGCGGATGCCGCACTTGCTGCTGCACCGAGTCCCACAGCTCCTGCAGCAGCAACAACAGCAGCAGCAGCAGCAGCAGCATTGGTCGAGATAGAATGCGTGGAAGCCTACGACTGCGAGCAAGCGCCCAGCAGCAGCAGCAACAGCAGCAGCACAAACACCGCGAACAGCAGCAAGACCAGCAGCAGCAACAGCCACAACAGCAAACGTAGCAGCAGCAGCAGCAGCAGCAGCAAACCTGAAGACAAGCCCGTCGCTGGTGAGGTGTAGAGACAAGGAGTTTGGACCAGACAGCCAAACGCTTCGCCGACTCATCTGCAGCGCAGCAGCAGCAAACGCAGCAGCAAACTCACACCAGCAACTGCAGCTGCAGCGGCAACAACACCGCTGCATAGCAAGACACAGCCTGGCCTACACAAGCAGCAGCAGCGCCACCAGCGGGAGCCACCACAGCATAAGAAGCCGCAGTACCAGTAGCAGCACCACGAGCAGCAGCAGCAACAGCATAAGCAGCACGCGGCTCAGGTGCAGCGCCATGAGCAGCAGAAACAACAGGAACAACAACAGCAGCAGAAACAGCTATACCACCAGGAACAGTAGCAGCACCAGCACCAGCAGAAACAGCAGCGGCAGCAGCAACATCAGCAGCAGCACGAGCAGCAGCACTAACAGCAGCAAGAACACCAGCAGCACCAAAGAAGCAGCAGCACCAACAGAAGCAGCAGCACCAGGAGCAGCACCAACAGAAGCAGCAGCAGAAGCACCAAAAGAAGCAGCAGCAGCAGAAGTAGCACCAACAGAAGCAGCAGCAACAGCAGCAGCAGCAGCAGCATACATCCGAATAGGTTGACAGAGAAGGTCCTGCTAAATCGACGCCCTGCAGAAGCTGTCCACCTGCAGCGCCACTGCGGCTGTCTCCTCTCATCAAGCCACACGCAGTGCAGCGGCCGCCTGCTGTCTAGACGCGCACCTGCTTCTGCAGCAGCAACAGCAGCAGCAGCAGCAGCAGCAGCAGGAACAGCAGCAGCAAGCATACAGTCCCGCATTCACCTCAAATCAAACGCCCCCACTGCAAACCAACTCCTCGTCGCTAAAGGCCGTACACTGTACGTGCTACTGCTGCTGCTGCTGCTGCTTCTGCTGCAGCAGCAGCAGCAGTTGCTGCTGCTGCTCTTGCTGTTTATTTACCTGAGTGGGGTTCGGGGTTAGGCTTGAAGTGTCTGCTCAGCAGCACAGCAGCGTCCACTAAGGCCTCCAGCTGCGGCAACTCGCCGTAGCCAGGCGGCAGCAAACTGGCGCGGCAACTCCCGCTGCTGCTGCTGCTGCTGCTGCTGCTGCTGCTTGTGCTGCTGCTGGCGTTGCTCCCGCTGCTACCGCTGCCCTTGCTGCTGCTGCAGTTTTTGTCGCCGCTGCTGCTGCTGCCGCTGCTGCTGCTACGGCTGCAGAGCTCCTCGCCTTTTCCCTTCTGAGTGGAGACCTTTGCAGCAGCAGCAGCAGCATCGGGGGTGGCTGCTGCTGCTGTGGGTTTTGCTGCTGCAGCTGCAGATTTACTATGTTGCTTCCCTTCGTCTACTGGTGGAGCCGCCGACGCTGCAGATGGTCCGTTCGGATGCTGTAGCGGTTGCTGCTGCTGCTGCTGCTGTTGCTGCTGCTGCTGTTGCTGCTGCTGCTGTGGCAGCAAAGTCCAGAAAGGAAGACGCCACTGCGGACGCTGGAGCCAAAGAGCCGCAACCCCTTGAGGCTGTTGCTGCTGCAGCAGGGCTTGCTGCGCTGCAGCAGGCGTTACTCCTTGTGGGGTCGATTGCTGCTGCTGCAGCCGCTGCAGCAGCTGCTGCTGCCAGAGCTGCTGCCACTGCTTCATTCGCTGCTGGTGCAGCAGCTGCGGGTGCAGCTGCGGCTCTCCACCTGCAGCAAACAGCAGCAAGACAGCAGCGCGACATGCAGGCGCCGGGAAGCACACACTACCCACCCATGGCGTCTAGCTAGCTAGCTAGCTAGCTAGCTAGCTACCAAATCAGCAAGAGTGCTCATACGTTGAAGCCAAAATGATTCCTTACCGAGAGTGGCCGCAGCAGCCGTAGGGTCTGTGGGGGGTACCGCTGATGCGAGCTGCTGCTGCTGCTGCTGCTGCTGCTGCGCCTGCTGCTGAGGCTGCTGCTGCTGCTGCTCTTGCCGCTTGCGAATGAGGTACTGAAGGACAAGCTGCTGCTGCTGAGCGGACGCCAGCTGCTGCTGTTGTGCAGCCAAAGCCAGCTGCTGCTGCGACACCAGGTGCTGCAGCTGCTGCTGGGGGTCCGTTTTGCTGCTGCTGCTGCTGCTAGTGGTGCTGCTGCTGTTTGCGGCAGCACGCATCCCTTCAAACTTGGGGCCAACAGCACTGCTTGCATGCACCGCCTTGCTGCTGCTGCTGCTGCTGCTGTTGCTGCTGCTGCTGGCGGCGATGGCAAGCTGCTGCCTGGTGGTGGGCGGAGTGGGGGTTGGCTTGACAGCCTCAGCAGCAGCAGCAGCAGCAGCAGCAGGGCCTGCGCCTGCTGCAGCAGCAAACGTCCTTGATTCTGAATAAGGAGACAGCAAATAAACAAACCTCCTCGCCGCCAGCAGCTGCCGCGTAGTTCCTACATCCATCACCTGACTCCGCTGCAGTTTGTGTGTCTGCAAGAAGACTTGCATTAGGTACCAGCTCGAAGACTGCAGCACAGCAGCAGCAACAGCAGCAGCAGCAGCAGTAGCAGCGGGAGGCACCTTAGTAACAGCCTCCGCACGAATTCGGCCCATAATGGCCAACCAAAACACCAACAAACAGCAGTGAAAGCAAGCAGAGCGCAGCAGCAGCAGCTGCTGCAGACACAAGAGCAGCAGCAGCAGCAGCAGCAGCAGGCACAAGAGCAGCAGCAGGAGACACAAGAGCAACAGCAGCAAGAGGCACAACAGCAGCACAAGCAGCGGCAAGTACAGCAGCAACAGCACAACAACGACAAAAACAGCATAACAACAACAGCAGCAGCAGCAACAGCAGCAGGTGAATGAGAGCTTACGAAAGGATCTGCTGCTGGGAGTGCTTCAATATCATCGAGAGTAGAGACAGCAAACTCCTCGCCTGCAGGGACCAGACAGCCTGCCAGCAGGGCATTGCGCAGCAGCAGACGCCCCTCACGGGTAGCCTCCTTCTCAGCCAACACGCGACTCATGCTGCTGAACACGCAGCTGCTGCTGCTGCTGGTGGTGCTGCTTCTGTTGTAACTCCGAGGGCCACCACCCCAAGAACTGCCGGAGCCGTCCGCTGCAGCAGCAGGTGCTGCCTTTCGCTTCCTGCTGCTGCGCAGCAGCTGCTGCTGCTGCTTCGATCCGCTGCCAGAAGGGCATGCAAGCAACCCCTGCAAGAAATCACCGACGCGGTAGCCTCCTGCTGCTGTTGCTGCTGCTGCTGCTGCTGCGCCTCTCTCATCGCCCTCACCACCCGGCAGCTGCTCCAAACGCGGCACCACCCCACACAGCTTCAGGGGCCGCGATACAGGCGTCCTGTTAACTTTGCTGCTGCTGCTGCTGCTGCTGAGAGCAGCAGCACTCGGAGAAGTTACTGCTGCAGTAGCCGGCACCGGAGACGCTGGCCCGGCTGAATCGAGACTGTCTACTGAGCTAGTTGCTGCTGCTGCTGCTGCTGCTGGCGTCGAGCTGCAGCTCCTGCTGCTGCTCTCTGCAGCGGAGACAGCACCAGAGATTTCAGGGTCTCTAAGGCGTGGAGGCAGCTGTCTCTTGGGTCTGTCCGGTCGCTCCTGCTGCTGCTGCTGCTGCTGCAGCGACCTACGGGACCGCAGCAAGGGGTGGTGACGCTCTGCTCCCTGCGGAGGCGGCCTATGCTGCAGCAGCACGTCCTGCTGCTGCTGCTGCTGCTGCAACCTCAACATGTACGCATCCGATTTCTGCAGCATTTGCTGTTGCTGCTGCTGCTGTTGCTGCTGTTGCTGTTGTTCCAGTTGCTGCTGTTGTTGCTGTTGCTGCAGAGCTATGTGCTCTTCATATGTAATGGCTGATGGCTGCAGCAGCCGCTGCAGATCTTGCTGCTGCTGCTTGCCAACGAAGCTAATGCTGCCTTGCTGCTGTACCAAGAAGCGAAGTGCTGCTTCTCGTGCTGCAGCAGAAGAGCCGTACAGAGACAAAGAGAAGCAACGGAGGTTAACAGCAGCAGCAAACCAGCAAGAGGGGGGTTCGGACGCGAAGCTGCACCTGCAAGACGCACACAGCCTGCTGCTGTTGCTGCTGCTGCTGCTGCTGCCGCTGCTCCAGCTGCTGTTGCTGCTGCTGCTGGTGGGACTAGGGTCGCTCTTGCCATCCGACGCTTCGCAGCAGCAGATAGATTTGTCTTCTGTGTCGTTGCTGCTGCTGCTGCTTCTGCGCGGCGAGCGCTCATCGCTGCTGCTGCTGCGGGTTCTGCTGCTGCTGCCGCAGCTGTCGGGTGCAGCATCCGCAGCAACAAAGCACTTACGATGATTTGCGTGCTTACCCCTCTCCCCTCTGAAGTCTTTGCTGCTGCTGCTTCTGCTGCTGCTCCCGCTGCTGCTCGTGCAGCAGCTGCTGTTGGCTGCGTCCTGCTGCAGCCTCACGAGAGGGCAGCAGCAAGACAGCCCCATCGAGTCGTCGTCTCCTGGCATCTGCTGCTGCTGCTGCTGCTGCTGTTGTTGCTGCTGCTGTCGTTCCTTTGATAACGCACCGCCGGCGGCGCTACTGCACCAACTGCTGCTGCTTCCGCCGCTACCGTTGCTGCTGCTGCTGCTGCTGCCATCAGCAGCAGCAGCAGCAAGCCAAGCCTCGCCCTTAAGAAGGAAGGCCTGCTGCCTCCAAACAATGAGAGCCCCCCTTCGTAAGTAGCAGAGCCCGTGCACTGGGGGATATCGATCGCACCCTGTCAAGCAGCAGCTGCAGAACTTCTCCCCTGCTGCTGCTGCTGCTGCTGCTGCTGCTGTGGAGCTTTTGCCGCCTAGTGCTGCAGCGTTAGGACCCCCAGCAGGCACAGCAGCAGCACCTTGCAGCCGGCATGCCTTCACCGACTCACCTGCTGCTGCTGCTGCTGCTGCTGCTGCTGCTGAAGTGGACTCACAAGGCGTCGCGCAGGCGAACAAACTGTGAGGATCTGCTGCTGCAGCGGCAGCTTCTGCTGCTGCTGCTTCAGCAGCAACTGCTGCCGCAGAGCGAATGCACAACGAAGCAGAAATACGATACGCGGGTTCTTCTGCAGCAGCAGCAGCAACAGGAGCAGCAGCAGGTGCTGCAGCAGCTGGGAGCCCCATGCTGGCGGTACTGCTGCTGCTGCTGCTGCTGCTGCTGCTGCTAGGCACAGATATCTGCTGTTGCTGCTGCAGCTGCTGCTGCTGCTGCTGCTGCACCGGCGCCGCCCCCAAATTCGCTGCTGACGGCGTCAAACGACTGGGCTCTGCAGCAGAGTGCAGCCCCGAGTCCCTTGAAGCACAGGAAGCTGCAGCAACAGCAGCAGCAGCAGCAGCTGCTGCTGCTGCTGCATGTGCGGATGGCTGCACGCCGAGCATCAGCCCTGCTGCATGCAAGCATGCTGCTGCTTGCTGCTGCTGCTGCTGCATACTCAGCCACAGACCTCGGCCGCTCCCCGCAGAGGGAGCTGCTGCTGCGGTCCCTGCAGCAGCATCGCCTGCACCAACTGCAGCAGCAGCAGGACCTGCTGCTGCACCCGTTGCAGCTGCTGCTGCAGTCGGTCTCTCCGCCTTTAGAGACAAAGAAGGCCCTGCTGCGCGTCGCAGCAGGGAAGGAAGTATGGTGGGTTGCTGCCGCTTGCACGCACCCACTGCAGGACGCACCTTCAAAGACCCTGCAGCAGCAGCAGAGGCAGCAGCACCTGCTGCTGCTGCTGCACCTGCTGCTGCTGCTGCTGCTGCCCTTGTATCCGCTGGCAGTGCTGCTGCGCGTGGTGTGTCGCTGCCGTTTGTCTCGCGGCAGGCCCGCGCTGCATCTGCTGCCTTCGGTGCCGTTGCTGCTGCTGCTGCTGCTGCTGCTACTGCTGTATCCACATGACTGTATGAAGTTGCTGCTGCTGCTGCTGCTGCTGCTGTTGGAAAATCGGGGGACGCCGGGTCTGATGATATGCTGCAAGCAATGTGCGAGGTTGTTGATCTACGGCCTCCGTGATGCTGCTGCTGCTGCTGCTGCTGCTGCTGCTGCAGTTCCTGCTGTTGTTGCTTCGTGCAGGACCAAGGCGAGGGTGCGACCTTGTGTTTTGCTGCTGCATCCGCCTGAATGTTGTTGCTGTTGCTTCCACTACCAGCAGAGGCTGCTCTGCTGCTGCTGTTGCACGTAGTACTGATGCTGCTGCTGTCGCAAGCAGTAGACACACTGCTGCTGCTGCTGCTGCTGTTGCTGCTGTTGCTGCTGCTGCTATTGCTGCTGCCCCTGCTGCTGCAAGGCGTGGTCTTCTGAAGTGCATGGGGTACAGAGCGTAGACTCGCCTTGCGGCTGCTAGGGGTGCATGGCTGCGGCAGCACTACAGCCGCAGCAGCAGCAGCTGCTGCTGCTGCTGCTGTGGGGCCCCGGGGGGTCTGTGCAGGGGGTGTCGGACCTCGCGGGGTCGCCATACTTACTTTTGCTGCTGCTGCTGCTTTTGCTGCTGCTTGCTGCTGCTGCGCTGCTTTCCCCCCAAGCCGATGCGGCTGCAGTGGCTACGGGAGTGCTGCATCAGCGGAGAGCACCGCAACAGCGCAGCAGCAGCATCTGCTGCTGCTGCTGCTGCGGTAGAATCAAAAGCGGCAGCTAGAATGTTTGTACAGAATGGTCGGTAGTGTCGTTACTGCGGGTGCTGTCTGCTGCTGCTGCTGCTGCAGCTGCTGCTGCAGCTGCTGCTGCGGCCTGCTGGGGGGCCTTGGAGATGCGGAGGCCGTATGAGGGCCTGTTTCGTCGCTACAGCACCACCGCGCTGCTGCTGCTGTGGCTGCTGCTGCTGCTGCTGCTGCTGCTGTTCCTAGGATGGCGTCTTAATGCCGTGCTGCAGTTGCTGCTGTGCCTCCCCTACGGAGCCAACATGTTTGAAGGGCCTGTATAACTGCTGCAGCTGCTGCAGCAGCTGAGGCGGTGTACATACACCTGAGCGCTAAGAAGCCAGTAGGAACAGCGAGAAAGGGATGCCCCAATAAGGGAGGGTGTGCGCCTGCCAAGGTCGCTGCTGCTGCTGCTGCTGCTGCTGCTGCTGCTCCGCTGCGGCAAGATGCGGTGTTTAGCCCAGCAGAGGCCAAGGAACGACAAAGGAACTGGCGGAAAGAAGCTGCAAACGGGAGGAGCCGCAGCTGCTGCTGCGTTTACTGCTGCTGCTGTTGCTGCTGCAGCAGAGAGCGCTGCCCCGACAGAGCAGGAGAGCGCAAGGCTAAGGAAACAGACTGAGGCCCTGCAGCTCTTTGTTTAATAAGTAAAATATAAACAAAACAATAATAACAACCTCAAGCTCAGGCGGCAGCAGCAGAAGCCTGCCTTCTGCTGCAGCAGCAGCACCACCCCTCCTTCAGCTGCGTCAGCAGCAGCAGCGCAGCAGCAGGGCAGCAGCAGCAGCAGGAAGATTGGGCGCTCGAAGGGGCAAGTCTACAACTGCAGCACAGCAGCAGCGGTTGTTAATAGTATTTCTGTTTCCCCCCTCCTTCCAAAGCCTTTTGCTTTCGTCTCACGCTGCTGCTGCTGCTGCTGCTGCTGCTGCTGCCGGGGGTTCGGTTCCGCCTGCTGCTCACAGCCTCGAGAGTACACCAGGGAGACCAAAACAGCAGCAGGAGCAGCAGAACCAACTGTAGCAGCAGCAGCTGCTGCTGCTGTTGCTGTTATGTCCCTGTGCTGCAGCTCCATCGCTCCACGCTGCAGTATCTTACACACCAAGACTCGACGGGGATCAGCAGCAGCAGCAACAACAGCAACAGCAGCAACAACAGCAGCAACAGCACAGCCTGAGAGAGTGCTTGCGTTCCGTCTCACTGCAACAACACCTGCAGCTGGTGCAGCAGCAGCAACGGCAACAGCTGCAGCTGCAGCAGACGCAGACGCAGCTGCTGCTGCAGCAGACGCAGCTGCTGCAGCAGCAGACGCAGCAGCAGCTGCTGCAACATGCAACTAGGACAAGGAGATGGCAGCGTCAATGCGGTTCGTCTCCTTCAAGGGGCTGGTTGCCCCACGGCATGCAGCAGCAACAGCAGGTTCTCGTAAGTCGCCCGTTGCTGCTGCTGCAGCAGCTGCAGCAGCAGGTAGCTGCTGCTGCAGGGGCTCAGTTGGAATGATGCTCGCGGCAGCGGTGCCCCACAGCAGTACTCAGAGGCAGCAAAGGATGCAGCGGCAGTTGCTTCTGCTCAGTGCAGAGCCAACAGCAACAGCTGCAGCAACAGCAGCAACAGCAGCACAAGTACCTGCAACTGCTGTTGCTGGCGTTTCTTTGGTTTATGCGCTCCGACAACAGCAGCGGCTGCTACATCTTTCCGCTAGCATGCGGCAGCAGCAGCAGCAGCAGCCTCATCAGCCGTCGAAGAGAGAGCAACCAACATCTGCTGCGTCTCCTGCTGCTGCTGCTGCTGCTGAGTCTGCTCAGCCCGCACCACTTGCTGCTGCAGGGGATTATGTACTCCCTGAAGCAACGGAAGCCCCGTTGCAGCTGCGATCAGGCTTTACTGCGTCGCCGCCAGTGAGACCGCTGCCTCTTCCGTCTGCTGCTGCTGCTGCTGCTGCTGCTGCTACTGCTGCTGCTGCTGCGGTCGAGGGCACCCTCGCGTGACAGCAGCGGCGGCGAGTGTTCGCTTGTGCTGCGCTTGTTTGGTCCTTTGTCTCATCCTGCTATATTTCCATCTTTGCTGCTGCTGCTGCTGCTGCTGCTGCTGCTGCTGCTGCTGCAGCCGTCACGGCCTCCGCGGCCCCAACGTTGGCGAACGTGGATGAAAGTGCTGCTCTTTGGAGTATTTTCGGTGTCTCCTGTTGTTGCTGCTGCATTTATCTTCAAGTCGCTGCTGCAGCAGCGGCAGGAGCAGGAAGATGATGCTGCTGCTGCTGCTGCAGACGAGGAAGCTGCTCTTAAGCGGGCACAGCAGGTGAAGCAGGATCTCGCTGCTGCTGCTGTTGCTGCAGTTGCTGCTGCTGCAGCTGCTTTTTTGGCTGCTGCTGCACTTCCTGCTGCTGCGGCTGTATGAGACGGGGAGAGGAGGCGTAGAGAGACTAGCAGCAGCAGAAGCAGCAGGGCAATCTGCTGCTGAGTCTGCTGCTGCTGTTTGCTGCAGATTGTCTCCAATTCTCTGAGTTGCATTTGTATAGCAGGAGGGCCAGACGGCACCATCGCCTCCGGTACGCAGCTGCTGCTCTTTCTGCTGCTGCTGCTCTTGTTGCAGCTGCTGCTCTTGCTGCTGCACTTTCTCCCGCTGCTGCTGCTCTTGCTGCTGTATGCTGCGTCAGTTGTTATAGTGGCAGCCATAGCTGTGGGGGCGAGCACCTCCCTACCGCTGCTAAGCTACGGATGCTGCTGTTGCTGCTGCTGCTGCTGCTGCTGCTGCTGCAGTACGTGTGGAGCCTCATTTGCCTGAGAGCCGAGTGCTGCGTCTGCCTTCTAAAGAAGTAATAAAAGGCATCGAGAACAACGCCCTGACGTATTTGCTAGCAGGTACTAACTGTCTCCTTTTTTGTCTCCTTTATTTTGTCTCTTTTCTCTGTCTTTTTTGTTTTGTCTCTTTTCTCTGTCTCCTTTGTCTCCTTTGTTTTGTCTCTTTTCTTTCTCCTTTGTCTTCTCTGTGTTGTTTTTGTGTCTCCTTTGTTTTATTTCTTTTCTCTGTCTCCTCTGTCTCTTCTTGCTTCTTTGTCTCTTTTGTTTTATTTGTCTCTTCTGTCTCTTTTGTTTTATCTGTCTTTTCTATTTTGTTTGTTTTGTCTGTCTCCTTTCTCTTCTCTATCTCTCTCTTCTGTTTTATCTGTCTCCTCTGTGCCCACTGTCTCTTCTTTCTTTTTTATCTCTCTGTTTGTTTGTTTGTTTGTTTGTTTGTTTGTTTGTTTGTTATTTCTTTGCCTTTGTTTTTGTGTTGCTGTGTATTTCTATATCTGTCTCTCTGTCTCTCTTCCTGTGTTTATATTGATGTCTTTGTTTCTTTATCTCTATTTATTTATCTGTTTATTTATCTCTTTATATCTTATCTCTGTGTTTCTCTCTTTGTCTCTTTGCTGATGTCTTTGTCTCTGTCTCTTTATTTTTATTTTTATTTTCTTCGTCTTTTGTTTGTCTCTTCTCTTTCTGCTGCCGCTTTGTTTGTTTTTTTTTTTGTTAATCTCCTCCTTCTGCTTTATCTCTTCTTATATTTTATATCTTTTAAATAATATATATTATGTAAAATACCTTATATAAAAAATATATTATAACAGATATAATATAGAATATATTCTATTATATAAAATATATTCATCTGTTATAATATAAAAGTATATTATATAAAATGTACTTTATTATATAAAATATATTATATGAAGGATATTCAATTGCATATAATATATTATATAAAGTATATAATACTATATAAGATATATTTTATTATATAAAGTATATTACATTATATAAGATATACATTATTGTATAAAGTATATTATATTATATAAAGTATATTATATTGTGTATAAGATATACTTTATTATAAAAAGTATATTTTATACTATTTCTTATCTTTTTATTTCTGCAGGAGAACGAAGCGCGTTTAGTTTGCCTTTCAATTTTATTCACTTCGCTCTCAGCGCCGACTCTCAGGTGTATCGGCAGCTCCAGCAGGGACACCCTGTGGCTCTTCTTTATATTGATGCCAATACGTGAGCTTAAACACTTGCTGCTGCTGCTGCTGCTGCAGTTGGGGCTGTTGCTGCTGCTGCTGCTGCAGTCGTGTCTGCTGCTTCTGCAGGGTACATACAGTTGCTGCTGTTGCAGCTTACATACAGTTGCTGCTGCTTTAGCAGCAGCGACTGTGCTTAGAGCTGGAGAAGGATATATTGTGTGTCTCTTGTGTCTCTGCAGAGGAGACAGTTTGCTGCTGTCAGGAGTTGCTGCTGCAGTTGAGGCGGCCCCTTTCAAGGCCCACTACTGGCGAAGCTGTTGGGCTGCCTCCCTCCCAGGTAGGGGAGCTTGAGGTTTTTATATTTATATTTATATTTATATTTATATTTATATTTATATTTATATTTATACTTATTATATATTTTTATATTTATATATTTATGCTTGTATCTATACTTTATACTTTTATTTTTACTTTGGGGAGCAGCCTCTGTAGCTGTGGTTGCGTCTTTGTCTGTCTGTACACCCGAGGATTTTTAGTGTTTGTTTATTTAGTTGGCGGTGCCCTAACAGTTTCTGCTGCTGCTGCTGCTGTTGGGTCTTGGTTGCTTCTGTCGGGTGTCATTTGCTGCTGCCAAGCCTCCTGTGCTGCTACTGTTCTTCGTTTGCTGCTGCTGCGCCATGCTTGCTGCTGCTGTGTTTTGTTTGTTGCTGCTGCCTTTCCTCTGCTGCTGCTGCTGATGTTCGTTCGCTGCACTTGGTTTATTGCTGCTGCTGCACTTGGTTTGCTGCTGCTTCTGCAATTGGTTTACTGCTGCTGCTGCTGCGCATGGTTTGCTGCTACAGGGGGTCAGGAGAGTGCTGCCTATAAGCTGGTGAAGTTCGTACCCCACACTATTGGGATCGACTTGGGGGTGCGGGGATCGTCACGGTGGAGGCCTATAAAGCTGCAGCGTTTGATTAGCAAAGAAGATATACACTGGCAGCTAGAAAGACAAACAACTGCTGCTGCTGCTGCTGCAGGCCAATAGAGATACTGTGTGCATGAGTACATGCATACTCCAGCGGAGACACAAACCGCTGGGGAGCAGCGGCCTTAATGCTGCTGCTCTGCTGCTGCGCAGCAGCTGCAGCACCTGCAACAGCAGCAGCAGCAGTAGCTACTTGCTGCTAGGCTGCAGCACTTGCTGCTGCTTGCTGCTTAGCATGTAGATGCTCAGCAGCATCTACAACAGCACCTGCTGCTGCATCGCTTTCAGGAGCAGTGTGGCAGAAGCACCTGCTGCGAGCAGCTTTGCTGCTGCAGCTGTACTGCTGCAGCAGCAAAGCTGCTCGCAGCAGGTGCTGCAGCTGCTGCTGCAGCAGCTGCTATTGCCAAGTGGGGTGCCCTGGGAGGAGGAGCGCATTAGAGAGTATGAGGGTATTGCTGGGGTCTTCATCGAGGCTGTAGCAGAGGCCTCTGCTGTTCCTTAGAGAGCGCCCTATCTCCTGTGCATGCAAGCAGATACGGGGCTTTGTTTTAGTTTAATTTGTTTTGTTAAAGACTGAGAGAAGGACTTCTCTTTTTGTTTTTTGTTGTTTCTCTCTGTCTGTCTCTGTCTCTCTGTCTCTCTTTGTCTGTCTTTTATTATTAGGATGAGGGTTTTTGAGTAGGTAGCTGTCTTTGCTGCTGCTGTCTCTCTTTGTTTATCTTGCGTTGCTGCTGCTTGCTGCCTCTCTTGTTTGTTTGTCTTGTCTTATTTGTTTATCTGTCTCTATACACCCTGCAGAGACAGCTGGCTCTCTGGGGTCTCAGTGCATGTATGCTGCTGCTGCTTCTATTTGCTGTCTCTTTTTGCTGTCTCCTTTTGCTGTCGTGTCTTTCGAGCTGCCCTATTACTAATAACTGTTGTTATAAAGACAAAGGAGACAGAAGTACTAATATAAGAACAAAGGAGACAGAAGAGCTACTAAGACGAAGGAGACAGAAGCATATAAACATACTACTAAAAATAAGAAGCACATGCAATAAAGAACAAAGAATGAAGCAAATAAAAGTAGAGGGCCTACAAAGGAGACAGAGCAAGAGCAGCTAATAAGACAAGGAGACAGATGCATATAATACTACTAATACTAATACTACTAAGAAGCAAATGCAATAAAGAACAAAGAAGAAGACCTGCAGAATAATGTGGGCGGTGAAGTGTGCATGCGATGCTGGGAAATGATGCACAAAACCAGGAAGAGCCCTCAGGTGTATATTCGGGTACCGTAACGCCAAGAAGCTGCACAGACAGTACACCCCACAGATACCTAACTGCTGCTGCTGCTGTAACTGCTGCTGCTGCTGTTGCTGCTGCTGCTGCTGCTGCTGTTTCTGCTGTTGCTGCTGCTGTTTCTGCTGTTGCTGCTGCTGTTTCTGCTGTTGCTGCTGCTGTTTCTGCTGTTGCTGCTGCTGTTGCTGCTGATGGTGTTGCTGCTGCTGGTGTTGCTGCTGTTGTCTCCTTGCAAAGCGCACTCAACACAGCCGCAGCAAACAGAAGGCAGCAGACAGGCACACGTGCGGCTCTTTATGTTGCTTCATTACTACTTAATAATAATAATTATTATTATTATTATATCTACTATTATATTTATTATTATTATTGCAGTAGTGTTCTACTGCCAATTATGTTGCCTTTCTACTACATAACAATATTAATAGTATTAATTTTAATATTAATAATAATAACAATATAACATAAAATGATATTAATAATTATAGTAGTTATTATGTATTAGTGGTTTGCTTCACCATTCCGCACTTAAAGCAATAATAATAATAATAATAATAATAATAATTATTATTATTATTATTATTATTACTATTGTTATTATTAATATTGTTACTATTAATATTCTTATTATTACTATTATTACTTGTTTCTTTTAGCTGCGTTGCATTATAATTAAAGAGGAGCAGAGAGATACAGACAGATACACCCGAATGCAGCAGCAAAGGACATAATAATAAATAATAATTAATGAATAATAAATAGAAATAGAAAGATGCAGATACACCCCACAGCAGCAGAAAGGGACATACAAAACAATTGATAGTGATGCAGATACACCTGAATGCAGCAGCAAGAGAGAGATAATAAAGAATGAATAGAGACAGAGAGATGCAGATACACCTGAATGCAGCAGCAAAAGAACACCCACCGCGCCTGTCTTATAGGGATAACACCATCAGCTGTACCATGAAAAAGAGAGGCCCGCTGTCCTCTTTGTCTTAGCAGCTGCAGCGTGATGTCGACTCTGTCTTGAACTGAAAAGGAGACAGAGACAGAATAATTAAAAAAGGAGACAGCATTTTGCTGGGTCTCTCTTTCTGCTGCTTACCTCCTTTCTCATATTGGCTATTTGCTGTTTTTGTTCTTCTTGCTTGTTTCTTTTGCTCGTATATTTGTTATTCGCGGTTGCTCTCTGCTGTTGCTGCTGCTGCTGTTGCTGCTGCTGCTGTTGCTGCTGCTGTTGTTGCTGCTGCTGCATTTGTGTGTTTGTTCTTAGCTGCCGGTGTTTCCTTTTTACTGTATATTCTGTATGTCTTCTTATTTTCGACTTGTTGGGTAATTACACTTCAGAATAAAATACCCTTAGCCCTAAACCCTAAACCCTAAGCCCTAAACCCTAATCCTAAGCCCTAAACCCTGGACCCTAGCCGGAGTTTATCAGGGGATAGTGTAATCAGGAGACAGGAGACAGTAGATAGGAGAGAGGAGGTTGGATGAGGGGATATACCAATAGAGCGAATGGTGCCTGTAAGAGCATCGGGGTGTATACTGAAGATATCTGCAACCGACAGCTGAGGTAATTCTCCTGGAGGGACGAGCCGAAGCACAAGTGGTTCAAAGAGAGGCCGCAGCACAACACCCAGCCGCAGCAGCAGTTCACCAAAGTAAGGATGTGCTACTGTCTGTTTAAACAAACAAACAAACAAACAAACAAATAAATAGGTAAATTGATTAATTAATTAATTAATTAATTAATTAATTAACAAACAAATAATAAAGAAATTAACAGAAAACATACACATGTATACACATACATACACATATACACAGCAGCAGCAAGCAATACAACACAAAATCAACAAGACAGTTACAGCAGCAGCAGCAGCAGCTATTACTGCTGATGCAGCAGCAGCAGCAGCTAATGCTGCTGCTGCTGGGTGTTTAAAAAAAGCTGAAGAAGCATAAAAGGATTTGGGAGACAGCAGGAAGAGACAGGGTGTTGTGGTGATGAGCACAACAGCAGGAGGAGGAGCATTCGTTGTATTCTTCACTGAATATAACTCTAATTAGAATAAACAAAAGAAATAATAAACGGCGTGTCTCTTGTTTATTAAACAAAAGAAACGGAGACACTCCGCATGCAGGCATGGTCTAGTGGCTATGACGCTCGCCTCACACGCGAGAGATCCCGGGTTCGATCCCCGGTGCCTGTACTAAATGAAAATAATGAAAATTAATATGTATACTGTATGTAAAAGTAAGACGTATATGTGTAATATATATCATAGAGGCATGTATATGCATATACATATGTATATACGTGCATGTATATATTTTATATATATATATATATATATATATATGCAGTGCTTTACTAAATTACTATATAAGTGTATATATATATATATATATGTACATATATATATAGTAGTTGAGTGTCTCCTTCTGTCTCCCTGTCCCTCGATTGCAACAAAGAAAGAAATTTGTTTGATTTTTCTCTTTGCTGTTTTACCGCCTCAGGTGTCTCTGCTATCTGCTTACAGGGTGTCTACTGTGCTATGATATGCATGCACGAAGGAGTGAGTACAACAACCCCACCCTCTGCTCTAATCTCTTTGTTTGTTTGTTTATTTGTTTGTTTGTTTTTATCTTTGCTTCATTTTATTCTGCTCTGTGTCTATGGGAGTCAATAGCCGAGTTTAAGACAAGAGACAGTTACAGCTCAGAGAAGGTGAAGAGACAGCTGAGAGGAGGTGAAGAGACAGCTAGCTGGAGATGAAGAGACAGCTGGAGATACTGAGATAGCTGGAGATGAAGAGAAAGCTAGCTGGAGGTGAAGAGACAGTTGGAGATGCAGAGACAGATAGAGATGAAGAGACAGCTAGCTGTAGATGAAGAGACAGCTGGAGATGCAGAGACAGATGGAGATACAGAGACAACTGGAGGTACAGAGACAGCTGGAGATGAAGAGCCAGCTGAAGAGACAGCTGGAGATGCAGAGAGAAGAAGAGACAGCTAGCTGGAGCTGAAGAGACAGCTGAAGAGACAGCTGAAGAGACAGCTGAAGAGACAGCCCAGGCCAACTTACATGAGCAGCAGGGAAGTGCGAGGCGGTAAGGATTCGCATTGCTTGTCTCTCCGATTCAAAATATGCTGGCGCCAACAACACCAAAGTAGAGACAAACCCTGGCGGAAGAATTTCACTCAACTCCGTCGCCACCAGACCACCAAACGAATGCCCTACCTGCAGCAGCAGCAGCAGCAGCAGCAGCAGCAGCAGCAGGAGTAGCAGCAGCAAAACATAAATCATATGCATTCAACGCTGTCTCCTCCAGCACCCCTTACTCCTACAGCGTGCGCTCTCCACTGTCTCCCTTTTCATCTACCCAGCGCCCCTCACCACTTCGTTGTCTCTATGGGGGCCCCCATCTCCTAAACTGTCTCGAAGGGGGCCCCTGTCCCCTTAAGTGTTTCTAGGGTTTCTTGGGGGGCCCCTATCCCCTATATTGTTTCTATGGTAGCCCCAGTCCCCTTAGGTGTCTCTGGAGGGCCCCCATCCCCTATATTGTCTCTACGGGGGCCCCTATCTCTTGGGGTTTTGTTTATATTCGTCTGTCTGCTGGGCTCTGTCTTTGGGTTTTACTTCGCTCACCAAATGCACAGAAGTAAAATTGTTCTCCAGAATCAGGTCCCGCAGGATTGCCTCTGCCTGCAGAGCACTGTCATGACGCACCAGCTAGCTATCTAGCTAGCTAGCTAGCTACATAGCTAGATGTATAGATAGCTAGCTATCTAACTAGCTAGCTAGATAGATAGATAGATAGGTTGGCGGGGGCTCCCAGCAGGGCAGCCAAGGCTCGCCCTGTGAGGTTCTACCTCTAGTTCTGTTTGTATACCGTGTACAGCGTAGCTAGCTAGCTAGTTAGCTAGCTAGCTAAGTGCCCAAGCTAGGTAGCTAGCTAGCTGGGGGAGCTAGTTAGCAAGGGAAGCAGAGGATCGAGAGGGGGGTTTCTAAAGTGAAAGAGACAGAAAGAAGACAGAGACGGGGCTTGCCTGTTCTCTCCTTGAGTAGTTGTGTGCTGAGGGTATAGCAGCGCTCTTCCCATAGCCGAGGAGATCAACACAATAGAAGGTATACCTCTTGCGTTCGTATGCATCTCCTTCTTCATGGGGGCCCCCGCGGGGGCCCCCTAGGGGGCCCCCAAAGGGGCCTTCGAGGGGACCCCCCATGGGGCCTTCGAGGGGGCCCCCTAGGGGCCCCCCACCCCTTTCTTCTGCTTCTGGGAAGAGGGCTCGAATAACATCAGCAAAGAAGTAGCTGCTCATGCAAATGCCGTGGATTAAAATGACCTTCTCGGGGCCTGTTCCTGAACAAAGCAGAAAAAAAACAGCAAAAAGATAAGGAAAGAGCTGGCGGGAGACGATCCCAAAAAGTCGATCCCGGAAGACGATCCCAATCACCCGATCCCGGGAAACGCTCCCCACACAATTCAGGGAGACGACCCAGTGGGGTGATCCCAAGAGACGGTCGCAGTGAGCCAATTTCGGGAGACGATCCCAATTCGATCCCGGGAGAGGACCCCAGTTCGTCGATCCCGGGAGACGATCCCAGTCGATCCCAGGAGGCTATTGTGAGAGGCGTGGGGTTCAAGGCTTACCAACTTTGGTGTAATGCAGTCTCTGGTGGAGGGGACAGGGTGGTGGGGTTGTTGTATTGCTTGTGTCTCCTCTTCTCTGTTTGCTACGGGTACACTGGGGACAGCCGTGCGTATCTTTAGTTCTGTTTAGAAAGTCAAGGGCTACTTCATGAACTTCTGCTGCTCGAGTTGTCTCTGCATCGGGGAGAGCAGCAGCAGCAGCAGCAGAAAACGGGTGCAGCAGCAGCGCGTTCGCGTCGTATGGAGGATCTAAAGGAGACAGTCTCTGCTGCCGCTGCTTCTGGGCCCTGCGTCTCCTGCTGCTCCCACCTCCCCCCGCTTCTCTCCGGCCTTCTCGAAACCCCACAGCACTCTTCCAGTCTTCTTCTATGCAGGGGTGCAGCCCTGGAGACGCACTTGTGGGGTGATCGCCCTTGGGATCCGATCCCAGCAATTGCTTGGGGCCCCCCCTTCCCTCCCCCACACGAGAGTCAGCGGGGGCCCCTCTGCTAGACGCTCCCAACAGCCACGAACACGAATGGCCCAGCAACGCGAGGCTTTTGCTGCTGAGACCCTTCACTGCTGCTGCTGCTGCTTCTGCTGCTGCTGTTTCTGCTGCTGGTGCGTCTCCTGCTGCTGCTGCCTCTCCTCCCGCATCATCCGAACGAACAAAAGATGAAGGGGCCCCAGGGACCCTTAAAGAACTGCGGGGGCCCCATCGTTTGCTAGATGCAAACAGACCCTTAAGGGGGCCCCCTGTGGGGGCCCCCCCTGAGCCCTCAGCGGTGCATGCAGTGTCGTCGCAGGGCTCTAGCTGCGTACTGCCAGGCCCCAGAGGAGGCGTGAAATCAGCATCTGTTGCTGCTGCTGTTGCTGCTGCTGTTGCTGCTGCTGCTGCAGCTGCTGCCTTTTCATTGAGCCCGTTTGCTGCTGCAGCACTGCGAGGGGACCCCAAAACAACAAGCGGAGACGGGGGCCCCTCTGCTGCTAGATGCTTCTTGCGTCGGCGACGCCCTATGCGGTTGTGAGAACTGGCCCGCTGCTGCTGCTGCTGCTGCAGCTGCTGCTGCAGCTTAGCTGCTGCAGACTTCCAGATGTCTCCTCGCTTGCGTCGCAGCCCCAGCATGGCTGCCCATTTCCACCACCGGTTCTCCTTTTCATACGCTGTCTCTGTCTCCTCTGCTACTGTCTCTAAACCCTCAAGCAGAGATAAATCCTTTACTTGCAGCCTCAAGGAAGCCAGCAAAAGGCAAATGTCTAAGGGGTCAATTCGAAAACTCCTCCGCCCCACACCCTGAGGGTGCTGTTTCTCAGAGGCTGACGGGGGCCCCTCTTTATTGGGGGGCCCTTCTCCATCAGGGGGCCCCTCTGTTGGGGGCCCGTCTGTTGGGAGCCCCCCTGTTGGGGGCCCCCCTGTTGGGGGCCCCTGTGGGGTTGGCCCCTCTGTTGGGGGCCCCTCTGTTGGGGGCCCCTCTGTTGGGGGCCCCTGTGGGGTTGGCCCTTGTGTTGGGGGCCCCTCTGGAGGGGCCCCCCTGCACTGCTGAGCTTCAGAAGAAGGGGTCGGGGGCCCCTCGTGGTGTCTAGGGCCTCTATATGCCACAGACGGAGGGGAAGGGGGCCCCCGTTCTTTGCAATGAAGAGTCAGCTGCGCCTTAGCGATGCTGCAGAGGGCGAGGAGTTCAGTTTGTGTGATGGTGGTGCTGTAAAATTTTCGCAGTTTGAGGTATATTAGAAAGAGAGACAAAGAAGAAGTGAGACAAGCTGGCACCTTAACAAAGTCGTCAACATCAGGGGCACCCTCTCCGCTCCCCTCAGGGTGATGCTGCTGCTGCTGCTGTTGTTGCTGTTGCTGCTGTTGCTGCTGCTGCTGCAGCAAACCGTGTCTGCAGCGGTAGGGGCCCCCCAGCCCCAATGGAGGCCCCTGGGGGCCCCCACATCTTTGTGAGCTGCTGCGACAGGGAAGACGCACTAACTTCCAACGAGGCAGCAGCAAAGAGGGAGGGGGGTGGGTGTTGCTGAAAGGAGTAGAGAGAGGGAGCATACTGCTGCTAGCTGTGGCTGTCAATCCCAGACAAACAAGCTCAAGAAAGTAGTATAATTGTATGTTTAAACATTTAAATAATCAATTAAATAATCTAAACACGGGCGGGGAACAAGAAGAAAAGACAAAGAAACATCCTAAGGTCACCTCCCAGAGGCAAACCCATTAAAATTGAAGCTCAAGAAAGGGTTTATATGCTGCATTTATGCAAAATAAAGACAATTAATAATTTAAATTTTAATTCATTTAGCAGAAGAAATTCAATTAAAGCACAAAAAAACTAAAACACAGGTGGACCAGTGGTGGAGACCACCGACCGCAGCAGCAGCAGCAGCAGCAGCAGCAGCAGCAGCAGCAGCAGCAGCAGCAGCAGCAGCAGCCACCACTGATCATCTCTTGAATAATTCACTTTTAATACTCTGGAGCCTTTGTTGTTTTGTTGCAGCAATGTTTCTGCTACGGTGTGTGTTGATGCAGCAGCAGCAGCAGCAGCAATAGCACGAGCAACAGCAACAGCAACAGCAGCAGCAACAACAGCAGCAGCAGCAGCAGCACGAAGGCCTACACACAAGTACATAGTCCATAGTAAAGGCAAAGCAGCTACAACACTGCAGCAGTTATTCAGTAACAACTGCTGCTGATTATCTTCTCACTAAAAGCATCAATACGTTGAGAGAGGGGCAGCAAAAAACAAATAAATAAATAAATAAATAAATCCCCAACCCGTCTCCCCTTACAGCAGCCACACCTCAAATGCTATACGCATACATAATATGCAAAGTTATATATATATATATATATGCATATATATATATATATATGTGCGTATATATATATATATATATATATATTTATATATCGTATATGTAGAATTCATATTTGATGATATATACCGGTGTATGTATGAATATATATGCATATATATATCTGTATATATATATATATATAAGCGCATACGCGGATAGAAATGCGTGTATTTATGCATATATTATATATGCGTATATATGCAGCACACCATATATATATATATATATATACATATATATATATTACATACATGTCTATATGCATGTACATAAACATATTTTATATATGCATATATATATATATATACATATATATGTATATCTGATTATATATATATGTATATATATGCTTATATATAAGCCGCCTGTATGCATAATAGTTGTATATAATAAAGACGGGTCTGAGCTCGCTTCAAAGTATTGATTCCCTGCAGAGGCATAACGTGCAGCTGCAAATATATTAACTTTCTCAAACCCTAGTAAACCCTAAACCCTAATAAACCCTTATATTAACTAGTAAACCCTAAACCCTAATAAACCCTTATATTAACTAGTAAACCCTAATCCCTAAGAAAGCCTAATAAACCCTTACTAACAAGTAAACCCTAAACCCTAATAAACCTTAGTAAACCCTTATTAACCTTATTATACCCTAACAAACCCTAGTAAACCCTATTATACCCTAATAAACCCTAGTTAGCCCTAACAAACCCTAGTAAACCCTAATAATAATACACCCTAATAAGCCTCAGTAAGCCCTAATAAACCCCAGTTAACCCTAGTAAACCCTAACAAACCCTAATAAACCCTAATAAACCCTAAATGAAGATGCTGGGGGAGTGGGGGTTGCGTGATGTTTATGGTTTAGGGCTTTGCCCTGCAACACTGTAAAACGTTCTTATATTTAAATAAATAATATCATATATATTAACTATTTACTTAGATAAGTTAATATTATGTATTAAAGGAGGTATGCTTCTTCACATAAAATATATATATATATATATATTATATATATAGTAAATATACAATATATAATATATATAACCTATATATATATATATATACTTAACTGAAGAGGAATGACTCCTCTACGTCCCCTCGTGGGCTGCATTCAACAGCCCGAGGTGGAGCAGCTCCCCCTTAGAAATCCCAAGAAGGGGGAGCAGCTGCTGCTGCAGCAGATGCTGCAGCAGCAGCAGCAGCAGCAGCAGCAGCAGCAGCGGAGCAGTAGCAGCCTCGCAGCAGCAGCAGTCGCTTCTGCAGATGCTAATAGTAAACAATTTCTTCTTTAAATTGGCTGCAGCAAAGAAGTAATAAGTAAAGGTCTTGGTGGAGGCTGTTCTCTGTTCTTTTTTATTGTTGCGGGTTTATTTTATTACTTTTTCTGTTGCTGCCGGCGCATGCATTTGCTCTTCCGGTGTATAAACCCCTCTGTCTGTACACTGCATGCATTGCAAGATGCTGCAGCAGAGTGCTGCTGCTGCAGAAGACTCACATCTAATACAACTGAATCCTCTCCACAGCTCCTTCTGCTCGAGAAGCCATGCTGCTGGTGCAGCTGCCGCCACTGCTGCTGCTGCTGCTGCTTGTGCTGCAGCCCCGGCGGTGTGCATGCATGCATTTGTTTGTTGGTTTTGGGGTGTCTGTGCTTCATGGGGCTGGCGATTGGCAGTGGGTGCCCCGTGCAGCGCCTTGTATGCTTAGCGAGGAGAAGAGTGTTTATGTCTTTCTCTCATAGACATGCATAAGAAAGACCCTAAAAGAAACTCATCAGTAAATAAAGGGCTCCCTCTATAGACTGGCTGTGGGGGCCTTGGTGTTTGAAAAGCGTGCGGGTGTATCTGAGGTGCCTGAGGGGGTGGCTGAGGGGCCCTTGTTTGTGTTTGTGTTTCATTTGCTGCTTGTACTGCTCTGAACAGTGCTGCTTCTGCTCTTAGAAGACGTGCTAATCGAGGTGTATGTGGCGTCTCTTCTTCTTCTAACTCCCCTGTACGGGGGCGAGGCCTCTGCTCTTGAAGCGAAGACCGAGGAGGCCTGTGTCTCTGCTCTGCATTATCAGAGACAGCAGGACCCCTTTCCTGCTGAGGAGTAGGGGGAGAAGAAATATGAGGGCCTTCAAAATTGTAGAAACTTGAGGGTAATTCAAAGGCGTCAGAGGGCTCAGCATAGTCTTCTCGCAGTGCTATCTCGCGAAGAGGCTCCTGCCAACGCTGCCAGTAGTGGTGTATGGGGACCCGACGTTCCCGCTCCCCTTGCCTCCGCTGCTGCTGCTGTTGCTGCTGTTGCTGCTGCTGCTGTTGCTGCTGCTGGCGGTGGTCTTCTGCGATGGGGATGCCTCGTCTGCGTGGCCCGCGTGCCGCTGCTGTCGCAGCAGCAGCAGCGGGTAGGGGCAGCTGCAGCGGCAAAGGAGAATGTTGAAACATGCAGTTGTCTCCCATTGTGCAGATACCATCTCTAAAAAGTAAGCATATTTCTGTGCGAGGAGGTCTTGTTAAGGTCCCCCTGCTTGCAGAAGGAGGGGGAGAAGGCCTCTGGGGTCTATCAGGTTCTCCTCGCATTGTTTTTAAGTAAATAAAGACAAGAAAAGAGTTTCTTTTATTGTTTTATTCAAGCTATTTCACAGAGTTTTACTGCTGACCTTGAGGTGTACGGGCCGTACAGTACACCAAGCCACAGCACCCAGGGTCGGCAGACCAGCGGTGCTGGGGGCATAGCGAGTCGTTTGCTTCCCTTTTGAGTTTTAAATCTTTATAAAGATTAAGTTAAATTAGTTTTTTTATATATTTAATTAATCTTCTGAGGTCTTCGGGGAAAGAAGCCAGAGCGTAGAGGTTCGGTTTGCAAGGTCACCGCTACGTTGGGCCCTTAGATAGCTCGATTCAAAACAAACAACAACAACACTGTGGAGGAAATCCTTTATTTTATTATTTAAATCTTTTTTTTATATTTTAAAACTTTTTTCAACCATATATTTATATCCATCTGTTTTAATTTGCAGCTTTATAACGCGCAGCTGCGGGTCTCTGTGCGTGTCGATGCGTGCAGCGAGACAAGATCAGCCTCTCTGGCTTTAACACCTTGCTTTTAAGTCTTCACTGCAGCCCCAAGAGTATTTAAGTATAAATAGATGCATGCAGATATTTTTTCTCTCTTTTTTAACCCCTGAGGGAGAGGCTAGGTCGTTTGTTTGAGCGTCGTGTGGCTGTCAGCATCAGGGCAAGAGTACTAAAATGTTTTTTGCTGTTGCTTCCAATAGAGTTGAAATGCTTCATAAATATTAATTCCTCTTTTTCTTTAAATATTAAAAAGATGCCTCTGATGAACGCTCATGCATGCAGCATGCATGCAGATACTCTTGTGTGCACTTGTGTGCAGTACACTGTATGCTTACCCTACACACAGAAACAAAAAAATTGTATTATTAAGAGGCTGTTCTTTCTGTAGCTTAAATATAAACTTAGTCAATGAATAAAACTTTCCTTGCTTTTAAAAGACAAGCATGCACCCCTTTCTGAAATATATTTGTGAAATATATTTGTTTTCTGAACAGAAAGAGAGGTTGGTGGGTATCGAACCCGGGACCTCAATGCAAGAACTCTGCTAAACATAAATAAAAATTTTGTACTCAGGCAGCTTCATCTTGTCTATTAAAAGCAGAAATATAATTGTGTAGAGTAAGTGGGGAGTAAATTAATTTGTGTATATCTTTAAAACCCAGAAGTGAAGATGCAATCACAAATAAATAAAGAAATGTGTCTCTAAGACAACAAAGACGAATTATTTTGTCTCTAAAAAAAGAAATGTTTGTTCTCTAAAATGCTAAAAAGAAAAGTTTGTTCTTTAAAATGAAGAATATTGAACGTTTGTTTGCTATAATAATTACTAAATAATAATAATATAGTAATAATAGTAATAGATACTTCTTCTTCTTTGAAGAACAAACAGAGATTTATAATAGCAAATGCTCGTTTGTTCTGCAAAGAAAAGTTTGTTTTTCAACCAAGACGAATTGTTTACTCTTTAAAATTAATAAAAAAGATTTGTTCCTTAAGAGAAGATTTGTTCTTTAAAATGCATCTATGAGATGAGTTCATTTCTAAAAACAACAAAAACAAATACTCCTTTTTGTCTTTGCAAAGAGACAAAAAGACTGTCTCTGTCTGTGTGGGTTGCTGATGCATGCACCTCTTCTTTGTCTTTTGCTTGCATTCTTTCTTGTTGTTTATTTCGCTGTTTATTCATATTTATTGTACCCGTTACAATTTGGCTTTTAGGGTTTGTTTGTCTTTATTGTTTGTTTTAAAGAACAGGAAGCTACAGCATATAACACAAACACGAAGGCATTTCTCTATAAAACCCCAAACCCTAAACCCTAAACCCTAAAGAACTATCTCTTATCTTCCTGCTACACAGACGGGACTCCATACGCCTCCCCCCCTTATATATATATATATATATATATATATATATATATATATGTATCATTTCGCGCTCAAGCAACCCCACCATCTAAACCTTTTCGTTTTATTATTTTTATTATGTATCACTGCAATCTCAGTTGGATCATTTGCATATATATATATATATATGCATATGTATACATATATACATATATAGGCATATGCGCATATATATATATGTACATATATATATATATATATATATCAAAATACTAATAATAATAAAACTAACAATAATACTAATAATAATAACACCAGCAGTAATAATAATACTAAGACAAATACTAATAATAATACAAACAGGTAACAGTAAAGATAATATTAATACTAAGACTACCAAACAGCCAACTTAAATTCATATCTACAGCAGCATCTCCGAGGGCCTTTTGCTGCTGCATGTCTTTTATTAAGAAGCAAAATACTATTTAGGCTGTGTCAGTGCATGCATAGAAAGGGAATAACGAATCCCCGTACTTCTTTCTGAGTAGCA